TTATTAGGCGGCTCATAATTTGTTTCCACCGGTTTGGTCAACCTATAACCAGCAATGAGAGGTGTAGAAACAGGTTTGCAGTCCTGCATGTTAAACCTGGCTAATATTTTCTCTATATAGCCTTCCTGATCTAGTGTGTTGTCATCTTCAGAAATTCTTCTTAATATTAGAATTTAGAAAATTTACCCCATCTGCCAGTTTGTCTCTCACAAGTTTAAGATTGCTTACTCCTAGGTGACCCATCCTCCGATGCCACAACATCAGTTGATCGTCCTTCTGCATACTGGAGACTAGTGCTATAGTGCCCTGTTGAAAAGGATTAAGTTTATAAATGCCATTATCTACCCAACAGTCACCAGCCACAACTGATCCATTCACCTCGCAATCATCCGAATTGTAGATTTCACAACCTCTGTTTGAAAAAAACTACAACTCTACCTCTCTTGACTAACGTATTTACGCTTAGTGAATTTGTAGCCAAGTCAGGAGCATACATAGCGTCTCTCACTCTTATGCTCCCATCCACATCAACTACATCACCAATTCCTAAGCCATACCTTACCACCATCCGCGCATGCAATCTCTCTCGTCGATTCATACGCCACATAATTCCTCAGCCAACCTTTATCATTTGTCATATGTGAACTCGCTCCCGAGTCAATCACCCATTCCGCTGAAGATCCTTGACCACTGGTCGCAAAAACATTTGCTGATGCGCAATAATTTTTCCTTCTGTTAGGATTGTCAGGGCATTCAGCCGCTTTGTGATTTCCTTCACATATAAAGCATTTCATCGCCTTAGCTTTCTGGTTTGCTTTGAATTTTCCTTTCCCTTTCTTCTTGCTTGCTGTAAGAGCAGAATCATCTTGTTGAAAACTAGTTGATGGTGTGCTCTCATCGCTTAGGTTGTATAACTTCGTTTTGACATAGTCTGTAGTAATAGTTATATTACTATTTTCAATAGCCATCTTCAATGGTTCATACTTCTTTGGGAGACCTTGAAGCATCAATGTAGCCAGAATCTCATCATCAACATCTTTACCAATGTCACTAAGTTGCTGTGACACTGACAGTATGGCTGTCACATATTTTTCAATTGTTTGAAATTGCTCCAATCTCATGCTAACTAATCTGCCCAACAATCGACATTTGTTATTTATGCCCTTGTCCTCATAGGCTTTGCTTAGCGCCTCCCAGGCCTCTTTTGCCGTCTTTGTCTTTCTTATCAAGGTGCGACATCTCTGATCCACCATCAAACCGATTCGAGCCCGTGCTTTTTGGTCTCTACGAATGCCTGCTACATCCTCCGGCTGTGGTGACACTTGCGTATATTTCCACAAATCATCATCCGTTAGATACAACTCCATATCAAACTTCCATGTGTGAAAATTAGAGCTTCCTACTAATTTTTCAATATACGCAGCATTAACGCCCGCACTTTGTATTTCTGTACTCGAATTTTCATTTTTATATCCATCATGCGACATTTCATATTTTCACTAGTATTCATCTGGGCCCATAACCCTGATGGGAAAGATTTATTCCCAATCAATGATGAATTCAATGAAGATGAATTATTGACACATAGAATAATAAAAATATATTAAATTAACACGAAATACATAATTATAGAAAGACAGTTTTTACAAAGACGTTTTTCTCTCGACTGCAATTGACACACACTGGAACAGTACAATTTTCAAATGTAACACCTGTTATCTGTAAGTGGCCAGTAATCCTTAGCGGAATGTTATGAAATCTCTAACAGTTTCATTCAATTCAAACGTAGCTCGCAGTGTTGTTGTTGTCTTCTGTAGCGTTCCTTTTCTATTGCACCGTACGTGGACGTACTTCCTGAGTGTTATGTGCGCCTGGTACTTCGGCGTAATACCAAATAATTTTATTAAATTTTAAAATATTAACTTTTATTTTAAAATAACCAGCACTAAGTACACACGTCTGTTCGCTTTTGCGGTCCGGGGGGGAGATGTGACTCCACCATCCCGTAAAAATGTTTCACTTAAACATATAATGTCTATGTGTTTGTTAAATATTTTGTAGAAATCGAGGATAGAGACATATTTGCAATATTTCAATTTTGTTTATGAAACCAGCAATATTTGGATGAAGTATGTTTAATGAATTTATTTCCTTTTTATTCACGAAAAAAACTTGTGTTCATAGAAGGAATTTGAGTATGTTTTTTATTTAGTGGAAAGTAGTCTAAAATTATTTTTTGTATTAGTTTAATATTTTCTGCCATTTTTTCAGTTTCCGGACAAATTGGTGGATAATAATATGGAATAGTACCTCTTTTATATACACTAGTTTTGCTTTTTTGATAAACATTTTGACATTCTTAGTATGACATACTTACTACGTTGGCATTATTTTTAATGAACTTTCTCCATCATCCCTGATATGGCTGATATCTTTTTCCTGCCAAGGCATGTCTTCATTTTCCAGTTTTGATGTATTTGACGTATTTGTGTTATTTAACATTTAATAGTTCTCAATTGTTTCAGGATCGTAGCAAGAAGATTTTTGATCTATATTATCTTATGATATATATTATCATTAATATTTTTATCATTACTGGATTTACAGATACGCAACAAATTATTTATCTTCATTTCTTGCTCCAATATTGTTTTATGGAGTGAACTTTTTTCTAAAATAAGGTTTTCAATTTCTAAGTGAGCACTATCAAGTTTTAATTTTATAAAGGTTATAAGGCTGTTATATAAGGATATGCTCAAACAGTTTTCTTTTAAAAAATATTTCAAAGAAAACTGTTTGAGCATATCCTTGCTGAATCTTCGCTACTTAATAGTACTTACTATGTATGAACATCTGATATGTATTTATGTGTATATGTATGTATGTATGTATATATATGTATATATATTTATATATATGTTTATATTGGTAGTTTTTAGATTTATTACCTAATTATTACATATTATTTATTTAATTATGTAACGTTTATAACTACTTTACTGCCCTTGACATTTTGTTTCTGTTCTACCTAGGGTTAGCTGGTAGAGAATGCAATATAGCATGCAAGCTCGCCTTTGTACAATTTTCTGTGCAATAAAGATTAAATAAATAAATAAACACTCCTTGATGTCCTCGCTAAGTACCCACTAACTTATTAATCTACTACCGTGTACCATTTGTATTCACTTTAAACGTTAACACTTCGATTTTTGAAGACTTGAAATGTTTATCAAAGCTATATTGAATTTTTGCACTCACTAAGTTTATTAGAATTTGGATGAGTCTTAAGAAACACTACGTATAAATGGCATATTGATGTTGAAATACGGAATAGGTAGATAATTGTATATACGGATAATATCGTGAACGAACAGTGTTGAAAACAATTTTCATAGGTATTTATTGCACCATTTACACAAAGATAATAATTTCGTATCACTTTGTTCACTTAATGAATTTTAAATTACAAATTTCTACAGCACCGATGTTAACGTGACACACGCGCGTGAGTAGTTTAGAGTAGTTTCGAGTAGTATAAAAACGAATTAATTACATTGGCTTTGAATTTTTCATAAATTTAACCATTCGCATACACATAACATTTTGATATCCAAAAAAATGTGAATATTCGTAACGAATCATTTTGAAGTTGCGAAAGCTTTTTAAGCGTGGTGGTGTTGGTGGTTGTTTGATACCTCACTTATCGCATACCTCGCAAAAGTGAGGACAAATAAGTCTTGTTATGCTGGTCTTCCATGAGTCTGTGGTAACAACACAGTGTAGTCCACCGTTCATATTAATAACAAACTGCTGTTCGGTTCTATCGCATTACGAACCGAAAAGGAAGGAATTCTCTTCTCTCTCCATTGAACATATTGCAAGTTGAAGTTAAAAACCCAAAGTTAAAAACACGAAGATGAAATAGTTTTACATACAATGATATTTGTTTCAGAATAATCTGTAAGAATAATCTTTGATAGTACGCGAGTTCTGCGTTCGATCAAGCTTTAATAGTTTACGGACTAAAAGCAAAAACATCCAATCCACTAGTCGTAGGCTGTGTCGTCACCTACAGAGTACCGCTAGGAACGGCTTAGACCACGACACGTTCTGGATTTCCCTAACGGTGAGACGACCATCGCCATAGCCAGGATAAAGCAGCTTCGGGAACATACAAGAACACACTGTACTCGCCGACGAGTGTTTTCCCTCGTTATTGATAGAAGCGTTGCTGGAGTTTCTTCCGCCACTTCTTCTCCCAGCGCTGGCGCTTTTCGAATTGGTAGTAACGATAGCCTTTGAAATCCCCTGAGACTACAGCTACCGATCGAGTCGTGATCCGGCCCTCTCGGGCACTCCAATCGGAATGCTAAACGGATATTGAATAACAACCCAAGCCGAGATCCTCTCTCGAGGGCCCTTGAGCCTAGTTACTCCATGGAAATGCGTCCATGGCGTCCCCAAAGCGCCCTATAAACTTGTCGGCCTCACCAGCGCAGCAGGGATGGAAAGGATGTGTCCTGATACCCTCTGTACAGGGGAGCCATTAGCCCAGTGAGACTAATAGTGGGATTCACTTATGGATATACCTACTACGACCCACAGATATATGTATATTGCACTATTTCTTATACATTTTTAAGTGTTATACATTTAATGTTCTGTTTGCAATCCTAAAGAAATAACCCTACACGTGGGCGGTAGTACAAATTATACTACATTTATACATTTTATATTTTTTACAAATTATACATTTAAAAATAACTTACATGAAAAAATAATTTCCTAAAGAAAATAGATCTGATAAAAAGAGAAAATAGTTTACTGTTTCGTTTATTTTGAGTTACAATTGAATAAATTTAAACTTAAAAATATAAGGCACATTAAGGGGCGTGACTAATGCAATTTTATTGACGTGCACGTCTGTTTTGCATCATTACAATCTTCGCAATTACCACATATCTCCTCTACTAGGACTACGCCATGATAACACCTTATCAATGATAGGTGAGCATTATGATTATTGTTGGTGCGGATGTTGAATTATACGTCTGCTCCAGTTCATAATACACACAAACTGAAATAAATATCAAGCAATTACAGCCATCATTCATGACATCAGAACAATCTTACATAACGCTTTTCACACCATTATTCTGTAACCTTCTGTAATGGAGAGAGGTGTTTCCATTTAGTAAGTGCATTATTTTTATTCCTTTTTTATTTCTCTTGCACAATTTTTATTCACGGTGCATTAATAACAATATCACCATACTTACGCTTGAAGTCTGCTGCTGTGTTCCTATATTTAATTTTAATTGACATTTTGAGTACCTATTGGGGATATTTCTTTGTTTTCTCGTCTGGTTGGGTTTATAGATAATTATAGTGTAACATCTTTGGTTTTTATCCATTTATACCGCTATTTTTCTTCGCTTTTATTTTCTACCGCACAAAAAAGCTCAATGTCGAAAGCTTAATGTCAAAATGTCAACTTGACTCATAAATATTACTAATTAGAGGCGGAGTGAAGCCACGACAACGTCCCAAGTGGACGTTTCGTGGCTTTTTTGGTGGTGGCGTGAGTGTTTTGGAAGGTATCATCACTCCGGACGCCTGTAGTATAAAATATCATTGATTATACGTATTCCACGAAATGTCTATTTACTTGTTCCAGTAATTGATGAACTCTTGTAATTTTTTTTTATGTAAAAAGTTGCCAAACGAGCAGACGGTTCACCTGATGGTAAGTGAATACCGCCGCCCATGGACATCTGCTACACCCGAGGGTTACAGAGGCGTTGACAACCTTTTGAAAATTGGTCTCCGGCTACCTCACTCACCAGACGAAACGCTAAAGTATTTGTCATACTTCCACGCTGGTCGTGGTACTTACCCGGACGGGCCTGCCCATTCGTGCAACAGTTGAGGCTGCTGCGTAGCCCTACCACCGTTGAAAATTGTTTTTGTTAATTAATTGGTGCGTAACTCTAAAGTGATTAGTTAGATAAGAAACCACGGTACGTGAACTGTGTTTTATTGACCAATGAGGTAACATTCACGAGGTCGGGACTGTAACATTCATAACTACCACGTTTGGGTTCACGAGCACCCACACTTTTCAAGAGAAGAGAGTTTTGTCCTCTCCGACTGTAAGGTGGTAACTGTTGCAAACCGATTTTGAAAATGCAGTGGAGAACTTTCCAGTGACAGAGAGGCCATATTTCCAAAGCCAGAACAGTATGGTGTTTCAACACTATGAAGGAGACACATTTTGCTCGTGAAGTGCGACACTTTAATGTTTGCGAGGATGGATCGGCTTGGAAGACCGGTGCCCTGGCCTGCTCGTTCTTCAGTCCCCACGCTACTAATACGCTATTTTTGTGGAGTAATGTGAAGGACACAGTATATTCCACCCATTGCCCGGTTGTGGTCGAAATAGAGCAACGCGTGAGATCCGTTTCGAATGGTTTCAATGGTTCGAAATGCAAAACAGGCTGTATCCCAATGAGCAAAGTTATGTATCCAGCAAGATGGAACACGCTTTGAATCGCTCCTCGAAATTAGTACAGCGGACTCGAAAATTAGAACTTTATTGGTTTTTTGGCTTTATTGGTTTTACGAAACTTGTTTGTTTTTATTATTAATGTTAATAAACAATTAGTCTTTTATGGTTGTTATCACTCAGAACCTCTAAGAGGCAGTTAGGTAGAATGTAAATAACTGTGGGTGGGTAGTCTACTCTTTAGTTTCATGTTTTCAGGGTTGCGTTTCAATTATGATTATTTTATGTTTCATCCAAATTCTTTTCTTTTTTTGTAGGTTATAGGACGATTTTTCGAATATTGCCAATCAATAGACTCTTTACAAGGGACCTTTTAACGTCATTTCGGCTTTAGGCTTTAATTTGTTTCAAATAAAAGAATGGAAACATAGAGATGTGGCCAGCATCATTTTTACTTTATCCTATCACACTGTAAAAACCCCATTTGATAAGCTGCAAGAGCAGCATTATATGGACAGACTTTTACACAATTTCCGATACCTATTTTTTAGTCTTCTTTTTCTTTTAATTATGAATAATGGTGATTTTTTAAATCCCATTCCTTTTGTACCGTCTTTTTTTTTTTCTATGATTGTGGACCCTACTAAGTCTTAATGGGACAAATTATACTTGTCTCCTTGACTTCCAAGATGTTGCAATGGCATTAATAATCATTATTAGCAGAAAAACTGCGTAAGACTGCATAGTTTTGTTTCTGCTATGAATACTCAGAGCATTGCCAATTCAGGTTGAATCCACTTTGAGTATTGAGACAAATTCCTCACGTGAAAAAATCAATTTCGAGGCATTAGATGATTGAATGCAAACTATAATTTTTTGTTTAAACCTTCTGGATGTCAAGTTAGGTGTCCTCCATATTGTTAATTTACATATCTGATATTATGTAACTGTATATAATAGATAATCTATTACTAATGATTGCCTGCAAAGTAGGTAATGAGTAATGTACGAAAGCTAATGATTATAATAAAAAATCCTCCAATCGACATTGTAAAAAAGCATTATTAGCATTATCACTATTATTATGTATAAATATGCATGGGTTAATTATGCAACACTCAATGTTACAAAGTAACAGATATTAGATAATGCATTTACGTACAACGTTCACGTTTTGTTGACAAATTGCTAAAAACTTTTTTATCATTGAAAACAATGTGTTTCATAAAAATGTTAAATTTATAATTTGACAAGGCCTTTTTATAAACAAGATTGAATTTTTTATATGCAACGCCAGTTTCGTCTCATTCCTGCATAACCTCTATAAGAGAACACAATAGTAGTGATCTTCCGTCGCAACTGGAACTTGGCAGATTATCAGTATAAAATAATTATTACGTTTTAGAGTCTCGACATGGCAACTGTGACGATCAAACAAGGTGATTTAAAAGGCGTGCTGTGCCAAACGGACGATGTGGAATATTATGCGTTCAAAGGAATACCGTACGCAAAACCACCTGTCGGACGATTGCGATTCAAAGTGAGTATACATAAGATTGTTGTACGTGAGACGTCTGCTACTGAAACTTACGTGACACCTAGTAGCCATGACTTGAATATACTCGTATTTAGCAGGATCGACCCGACGTTCGATATTCTGCTTATTTATTTATAACATGTTGATTGGAAATTGTAATTTTTAATCTTTTATCATTAAATAATTTTCTTTTTTATTTTTAACTTATTAGGTATATAAAGTATGCAAGATCCCACCTCTCTTGGGTTATTTTTGTCACCCGTCATCATTGGGTCTACGCCTAAGGACAGCTATGAAGCACAATCGCAAAGTTTCCTCCACGGACTAGTGTAGATTACTCCATCTAGCAGGTGGCAATATCACGTTCGCCGTAATCAACGTGGTATATCATTTAATTTCAATAGGTCCTTTGCGTTTTAATAAAAGTTCTTACTTATAGAGACATTTTTCTAATTTTACACAGGCCCCTGAGCCCCCTGAGCCATGGGTGGGCTTGCGGGACGCGTCGCAACACGGCCCCGTGTGCCCTCAGTACAACGAGCGAATGGACCGCATTGAGAGCGGCAGCGAGGACTGTCTGTACGTTAACGTGTACACCAAGTCGCTCGCGCCCGTCAGCCCGCTGCCCGTGTTATTGTGGATCCATGGTGGAGGGTTTTACACGGGGTCCGGCAACTCCGAATTCTACGGGCCGGAGTTCTTTATGGAGCATGACGTCGTCCTCGTCACGTTCAACTACAGACTGGAGGTGCTCGGGTTCCTTTGCTTGGACAACGAGGAGGTGCCAGGTAACGCCGGCTTGAAAGACCAGGTCGCGGCGATGAAGTGGGTTAAGAGCAACATCGCCGCTTTCGGTGGCGACGCCGACAACATCACAATTTTCGGATGCAGCGCCGGAGGAGCGTCGGCCTCTTACCATCTCACGTCAAAAATGAGCCAAGGGTTGTTCAACAAAGCGATATGCCAGAGCGGCGTCTGTTTGAACGACTGGAGCTACAATTTGTACGCGAAGAAGAGAGCATTTCAATTAGGCAAATTATTAGGCAAGGACACGGACAGTACGGACGAACTGCTGGAATTTCTGAGGAACGTCCCCGCGTCGTCGCTAGTCAATATTAATCTACCGTCACTAGACGTAAAACATAAGGATATAGTTGATAGCATTTTCTTCGGTCCTGTGGTGGAAAGCGAGCATTTGAGAGTTCAGAAGTTTATTACCGAATCACCGATCGATTCCCTCAAAAAGGGACTCGTTGCTGATGTACCCATAATAGTCGGATACACCTCTGGTGAAGGCATAGAAATGGCTCGAAAACTTAAACAATTAATAAAATTTCTAAGAAAATCTGGCTCCATTGTGCCTAGGGAAATCAAATTAAAAGTCGATCCGGAAGCACTTAAATATATCGATGGGAGAATGCGCGCGAAATATTTCGGCGATAGAGAAATTTCAGAAAACATGCTGCAAGAAGTTGCCGATCTACAGACCTACAGTTTGTTCGGTTACAACATTTACAGATTTGCATCGCTCTGCGCGATGTTCAATACAAGCTCTGTTTATTTGTACAAATTTACGGCTGAAACCGAGAGGAATTATACAAAGAGGAGTTATAAAATGAATAGCGTTAAAGGGGTATGTCACGCGGACGACCTGCCATACCTATTTAACGTCACCTGTTTAAACATTCCACTAAGCGAGGACTCCAAACCTATTATTAGGAGAATGGTTGCCTTATGGACATCGTTTGCTCGGACTGGGTCAGTGAACTTTTTAATAAAAACAAGAAAGCATATCGCGAACAAAACAGACATGTCTCCATACTTGATAGATTTGCATCATTACAAGACTTCCATAGCTAAATAGCTTGTGGCTTATTTATACTTTACAGCTAACCTATGAATCCTAAATAAAAAAATTGACATTAGTAAATAAGAGTGTGCCACTTTCTAAGTTGTAACCGGAAACACTGACTGAAGGCTGAAAGACTGTTGACTTAAGATGCGTGCCGAATATTGATATAAAACAAGTAATGATTATTAATAATAAACATGTAGTGGATTAATGAACTAGAAGCATAATCTCCCCAAAATAAAGTGATGTGAAGTTTTAACTGTGGTACCGCTAGGCAGCGTCTTCTGCTGTTGCACGATTGGGCAGGCTTCTAAGGTCTTACAGAACCGGTGCAAAGTGGAAGTACCTATATTTTAGTGTTTCGCCTCACGAGTGGGAGAATCAGGGTCCACTCCTTTAAAGATTAGCAACGTATCTGCACCACACAGGTGTTGTAGATGTCCATTGGAGATCCTCATAGCCACTTAAACACCTACTTTTTTGCTACCTTCTCACAATTCTAAGTATTCGCTGAAGTTACACAATTTAACTAGAAAAAAAAATAAAATTAGCTTTCTGCTCTTTAAATAATCAATACTTACATATAATAAAAATGTAACTGATTGTTGTCTATACATGGAAGATATTTGAGAAAAACTATTATTGGGGTTGGGGGCCTTTATCAACGCAGTAGAACACAAAACAATTATTGTTAAAATTGTCTGTGTGTTTATGCGCGTGAATCTCAGAAACAGCTTCTCTGATTTGGGTGCAACTTTCACTAATGCATTGTAGTAAGCTTAACATTCAGTGTTAGTTTTATTTTAATCTGTTCATAAATAAAAAAGTTATATTAACTTAAGGAACCACATTGAAGATTTGTACGATAAAATGCTATATAATACTAGTTGAATTGGATAAAACTATAGTTTACATATTATGGTTATGTGTTTATATGTTATGGTCTGTGTTAAAAGTTAAGCACGATATAAAATGTAGTTCCATGCGGGCGCAGCCGCAGGCGACAAGCTAGTTTAATAATATTTTCAGTGTATACATTGTAAAGAATACGTAAATTAATTCGAAACGACGTTTTGATTCGATTTCGTAATTTTAATGGCTGTTCTAGCGGTTCAACAAAGTTATCACATTATTGTTATTTAGTTATTATTTAATTTTTTCAGAAATCCCACAAATTTGTCTCACGTGCCGATCTGGAAGCCGTATACGAGCAAGGATAAAAACTGCTACCTAATGGGCAGAACTTTCGAATGTGCGGAGAACCCAGATGGTGACCACATTAATTTTTGGGAAGAGATTTACTCTTCTACCCTAAAAAACGATGTGACGAGCAACTGCAGAATGTGACTTCAGCTCCGAAGCTTAACTCATTGGCTTTATTTCGCGGTGTTTTAAAAATATTACTTGCAAGATTAACAGTCTTATCTGAATGTTCAAGGTTATGGGATAATGTATGTAATGTACTAACATAGATCGTATACTTCAGGCATAATACATCACTTCGTCTCTGGCCTAAATTCTAGGATGTCAATGTATGAATCTAGGTACAAGGTAATTAAAACCATATTGATTTATTGTATGTTTTTAATGCAGAATTGGTAAATGAAACTATATTTATAGAATTCATCGCTTTTATTTTATATAAAAGTAGATTTTTTTATTAATTCCAAATACATCTAGTGTACTATTGTAGTATCATGTAGACTATAATGTTCTAGGCGTTGGGAAAATAAAATTTACGGATAAAAACGATAATGTAGTTTCAGTAAATCATCATATTTGATAAAGTTATCGTTTTTAGGCTTAGTGGAAATAAGCTTGATATCGAAATTAAATAAAATTAAAATTCCCATGAAGTCTGTTAATTAAATGATTACATAAAATTAAAAAACATAAGAGGAGTTACCTAGTGCTTGACCCCATTGACCGCCATCCCACCTAATGTTATGTGGCGGTAGTAATGGTGATATCAGACGAAATTTTGTTCATCGTCATTCGTCTGTAATTCGGCACCTTTCACTCAAAATTAAACAAAACCCCTGATTGAATTCATTAATGATCAGGGATGTCGAAAAAATATCGATATAAAATAGTCTATATCGAAAAAAACGGTATTTTTTTATCAAATTCGAATTCGGCTCACAGTCCGTAGATTCAAATATTGAATACTTGACTTAGTTTTTTTTTTGACAACGGGACCTAAAAATTATTATTCGATATTTTCTCTCCGATGTATCGAAGCAGACATTTTTTATAAATATCGCCTATATATTTCTTCACTATCGCATCCCTATTAATGATCCGATCCAAATTGTGGAATGAAAAATGAAGTCTGGATACATGGAACTTTAACTATGATTCGGCCACTTTGTCTTGGGTCCTGTGGGGAAGACGAACGCACCACAAAGCTTTATTCGACGACATATTGATAGAACGTAGTTGGTGAATATTCTTTTCTATCTTTCCAAACCTGTGTGAACAGGGAATTAAAGCAAAATTATGCATTCTTTCAAGTGAACTCATCAGAATGAACCATCTGATATCGCTTTAAACGTAGTAGCTCAGTAAAAGCCTCCTCACTCTTTTGCCTAGAAGCCACGTTATACTTATATTCGGACGGAAAGACAGACGCCACCGAATTGTTTCGTTCCTTTTTTGGGGTTAAATATGATAATGAGGAACATTAAAAAGAAAACCGTATAGGAATGAATGCTTATAATTATATTTAAACGTCAATCTCTCACAAATATACCAAATTGCTGCGATAGCGCCGCATCCTTAAAGTGAAATAAAATCCGAAACATATTGCTTTTCTTACATCTTATGGATTACGAATTAGCTTGTCATTTGTTATATGACAACTAATGTTGTTATTAAACATCAAGGTCATGTGTAGGACTTTTCTTTCAAGGGTAACATGCAATGTGTTCAGTGCCTCATTATTACATTTTTAAAAAATTGTTAAATTACGATTTGGACAAATTTGACTTGCTCGAAAGCTTGTTTATAAATGTAATGAGAAAATTATTTTATCATAAAGGATATCATTATTATCATACCAATTATTCTATTAAATATAAGTTTACTTGTGTACTATTTAGTCTGCCTCTAAGGCACTAGAAAAGGGCATTTGATAAATTCTTAATAATATACATACACTTAAAATTTCAAAAAGAAAACTGTTATCCTGATCGTATTCTCCCTACATGCAGTTCAAAACAATAATTCAACTTTTGTCTTCTTTCAGAATTTTGGAGATTCGAAGCCAATACTCGTTCCAATTCCATTAACATGGATACGTTCCGCAGATTGGGAAACAGTTTGACTTGTGAGGTTGTTATTTATGTGCAGGTTGTTTATCCTTTTCGATAGCGGCATAAATTCACAAGTGTCATCTACACGAGATCGTTTACTATTTTCTGTCATAGTCCCAAACATATAATTTCCATTGCATCAAGAGTCTACAGTATTTGTTCCGAAAGTCATTTGCTCGTAATTTGTGTTTCAATACGCAAATTACGAGCAAATGACAATCCTTTTAAAAGGACATTTTATAACATTCATGAAAAATGCTGTGGGAACAAAACACTAATATCGTGACAGAAATTACCAATCTCATTAATGTATTATATCCAAAAATATTTTATACAAGATATATAAACTAACACCAACAAGCGCAACATGCACTCTGGAGGAGAATTTCTTCAGGACACCCAATTGCAGTGAAAATATACAATATCTGAGAAAATATAATCTATCTGAATAAAATCTTAAAGAGACATCAATTTATACCATGCAATACCAATGAAAACAACGTAAATATGGAGGAAAGGGCGACGCCATCGCAGTAAATATAATGGGCTGCCGCTGGCCACTGATGGGGCTTTATAAACTATTCTACGCTTATGTATAGTACGGCTGTTAGCAGTAAAGTTAGGTTTTCGACGGCCATCAGTAGCCAGCGGCGGCGGTCAGTGGCCGGCAGGGGCCAGGAGTGGCCAAAAGTGGCCGGCAGGGGCCAGCAGGTGCTAGTAGCGGCCGGAGCGCGAGTTGCGGGGGGGCTCGCGGCGGCGTTCGCGGGAGCGCGAGCGGCGGCGTCTCTCGCGCGAACGGCTGCGGGAGCGGCGGCCGCTCTTGCCGCGCGAATATAGGTACCTGGAAAGAGACGGACATTACTTTTCACTGGCACCCCGCCCCTATTTAGCACTTGTAGCACTATGATGTCAAAAAAATATTCAATATCGAAAAACTTATTATAAACAGTATCTTTTCAAAATCAACTCTGGCACAGAGCTTGTAGGTGAAGAAATATATTGATGTATCGCTATGTTTCTACACTTTCAACATCCCCATAGCACTAGTTACCAAAAGAGATACCCGAAGCGGTTATCACTTAACATCAGGTGAACTGCCAGCACATTTGTCACTTTGTCAAACAAAAAAAATCTCACTCATGTGCATATAAAAAATAACAGCCAGGACAACATAAGTGAATATTTTCATACTTCTATTTTTTGGATATTTTTAGCATTCTTCTTTTTTTAAAACAAATTAACGTTAAATGCTAAACCTTACTGCTGTCATGAAGTTATAACATATTTATGTTACCCTATCAAGTTACTTTAATGCGGAAAAGATGCTATCAGTTTCTAAATACCCTTTACCTTCTTAATTCCCTTGAGATAGGTTTGAGGTGCATGAAGTTGCAAAAACCACTTCTTGTACATTCTCCCATCTCGTATTGGCGGCAACAAGCCTCACGAAAATCCGTCACGGGAGACAATTCAGCATATACTGGCCGCCCTCCAAACCAACGGTTGTTAAGGTCACTGACAGCTTTCTCTGCATCTTCCTCACGGCGAAACTAGAATGTAAGAATACTATGATAGCTAACAAAATGTTTAGTTTATATAAAAGTAGCTAGTAACATTTTTACAAACTTTGAATGCCATATTTATTGATATTTAATCAACAGCCTAAAATATAAGTTTTATGCTTCTTGTTCTGAAAATGACAATACTTTCATAAAACTTTTCATCCCCCTCTTCAACCCTTTACAACACTTTTTTCCAATTAAAAAATTGCCTATGTCCTTTCTCAGGCTCTAGGCTACCTGTGTATTTCATTTAAATCGGTTCAGAAGTTTTAGCTTGAAAGCGAGACAGACAAACAGAGTTACTTTCGCATTTATAATATTAGTATGGATTTATAATGAAATCAAATGTTTTATTATTCATAGAAGTAAATTTGACTACATAGATTTTTAGGCGCAATTAATTTTAAAAGATTGAATATAATTTTACCTTAATGTACACATTCCCCACCAAGTGATCTCCTAAATTGTCACATACATTCATTTCCTCTATGACTCCATATTTATCTTCACACTCAACAAAAACATCTTCAAAGAAGTTATCATAATGCTCCTGCATCTCTTCATCAGAGACGTTTGCCACAACCACTGCAAATTTAGAATGCAATATGAAATAACATGTGTTATTAATCATTATTTTGAATACCATAATGTTCATCTAATATTAATGGAATGCTGCCACCCGTAGAAATCTACAACATGTGGTGGGTAGCGATTCATTACCGATTTTCAATAAAGTTTTAGGTTATAATATGGTTAGAGAGTATTAATCTTGTAAATAAGATAACCACACTGTGTTTCCTCAGAAATTCACAAGGTGTACAATTGTACCCATCTTTTATAAGGCTGTGATACTGCCCTATATGAACCAGTCTATTAATTCAAGCCACAGCTTAAGCTGCCACAACTAAAGCTCAGCCACTAACACACTGTTACTATTGCATAAATGCAGGTATTGAGTGTTTTATACTATTATGCCTTTATATTTAATGAAACATTGGATTGATGCATTCAAGATGCATCATTGCAGCATTAACATCATTAAAATTAAATTCCTACATTTTATTGGGCTTGACATGGTAAACTCAAATTACATGTAGCAGTTATTGTTTTTATTCATCATTCACTTTTTAAAATATTGACAGGCAACTTGCTGATGCAGTTGCTAAGGTTATTGTCTTCTGTGCTGAGTGTTGTGGGTTCGATATCCATAAGGGACAAGTATTTGTATGATAATTGTGCCAGATCTAAATGTTTTTTCTCGAGGAAGGTTGACATCAGGCAGGCAGCGGAAAACATTAAAAAAAACCCAGCCAATTCTATTAAGAACACAATTTATGTTATGCAAGGCAGGAGGATGATGGTGATAAAGATGATGATTTTATAAATTGAAAATTTTCACATTCTTTGATCCAAAAGTCAGAATGTACTCTTTAATGTGATTTGCTTATTAAATACCCACTATAAATAATAGTTTTAACTTTTTCAGTACACATAACTATACAATTTTTTAATACTAAAAACTTACAATGACTCCCATCAGCCGATTTTGCAGAATTTTGTGGATTCACATACAAATTTTGTAATAACACTGTTTGTGAAAATGTTGGTTTGTTGTGTATACGGGAACAACGATCACCGTGTCGACATGCTCCTATCTTAAAATAAAAGGAGCAATTTACCCTGAAAATAAATAACAAATATAAAATTAGAGGTTACAAAAAACATAAATATAATCGAGACGAAAAATATAACAGAGTACGTTTACTTTAATATGAAATGAGGTAATAACAACAGTTCCTTGATTTTATTTGACAACGTATATACGGAATACATAACCTAATAGCTAACTCTTGAAGCTGAAATGTAGTAAACTAAGCGGAATAATTTTACTGAATATATAAAAATAGTACTCATTTTCTACCTGAATTACCTAGAGAGAATTATAACTTACTTGTCCTTTTCTGTACCAAATATAGCGGCTAAATACTCAGCCATTATTTGGTTTAAACAGATTCAAAGGTTATTTCACTTTCTGTTTATTCACAATTGCTACTAAAAGTTAAAGCCCGTGATTAAAATTAAACACTGTATGTTAGGATATACTTAAATTATTGATATATTATATAGTATCAGAAGAAACTTTAAAAAATAATTACAAGCTTCGGTCACTATAGAAATAAAGTTGCCATTGCCAAAGTTGCGTTTGACGCCATTTTTTAAATTATATAGCACAGATAAAAAATGTCGAAGCAGTTATGCCATAGACTTATTTTTAATGTTGTTAAACCAGCAGCGACTTTTACATCTTCTTAATTCTTTTTCAGCCGTCTGCGGGTTAACGACCTGCTGACTCAGACGACACAATAACGCCGTCCTCTCCGTATCTTCGCGATCCTGGTTAAAGATATATAAACAGTCCGACTAGCAAGTGCACGGCTCAGATGGAAGTAAGAACCTCGGCTTTCAACCTGAACTTAAACCACGGACCACGATCGATGGAAACCAAATTAAATTTTTCCACTTAATTCATTTAATGCAGGCTATAAATGATTTCAAGAACACGCACTAAATCATCAATAATCCCATCGTTCTTTCCTGCATATAGACAAGCCTTTTGCAACATTTATGCTTTGATTTTATATAAGTCGTCGTATAATACCTTCGATGTAGACAAAATATAAACACTTATGTTATGAATATATAATGAAACTGCTTCTGGAAACGGGATGATGATTTTAACAATTTTAGAGAGGTATGGAATTTTTCAATTTTTGAAATTCGGGCACAGCGATATTTATTCTGTAAACTGATATAACCAAGCTTAAACAAAACAAAGATTAACTAGCTTCTTTTTTATTGTAATTAACATTTTTTTAATGTATGAAGGTGACAAGCGAGCTGGCAGTTCATCTGATGTTGAGTGATAACCATCGCCAATGGACATTTGCAATACCTGTCGGATTGCAATTACTTTTGCTTTTAATAAAGTGGGCCCTGGCTACCTCACTCACCAGAAGAAACCCAGAAGTATAACACTTCGACTTTACGCTGGCCCAGATGGACCTGCCCATTTGTGCAACAGCGAAGACGTTGCACAGCCTACTATGATTAGGAAAAAAATTGTTAGATCTGAAACATCCATTTTGTACAATATAGCAGTTTTAGTTGTTTTTTAATTCGATATAGATTAAGGATTTTTCCAACTAAAGCCTCTGATATTATTATATATTAACTAGCTGACCCGGCAAACGTTTTGCCATTTATAAATTATTTGTAGGGTTGAAAAAGTGTTTCGAGTGGACCACCCTTAACATTTGGGGAATGAAAAATAGATGTTGTCCGATTCTCCACCCTGGCCGATATGCACACAATTTTACGAAAACAGGTCGAGCCGTTTCGGAGGAGTTCAATTACAAACACCGTGAGACGAGAATTTTATATATTAGATAATGTACAAAAATAAAAATATAAATTCTTTACAAAATTGCTGAGGTTCACGTGTTACAAATTCAAAATGTATATATAATATATAATAATATCTTTACCCAATAATATAATATTCGAATATCGATAAAGATATTATATGATCAATATATCGCTATTTTTGATTTTATGTTTCAATAGTTTTAGTCGATATATTTCGATTCAACAAATGGATATCGAAAAAATATTTAATATCGATATATCAACATTACTTCATTTTACAAGTCTAGACGTCTGGTTTTTTTTTTGAAGTTTTTATTTGCCTATTACAATTTTAATGTGAATATTATAAAATTGAGAATTTTAAGAACAACTTGACATTGGCGTAATTGTGATAACTCACAAAGCAAGCCATTAATAAAAAGAAGAAGAAGAAGTCTAGACGTCTGTCAATGTGTCAAACTCACTAATAAACGCAATAAACTTAGTTAATGTTTAAACTAATAGAAGTAACCGCATCTTATTTATGTAATTTATTTTATTGAAATAAAATAAATTACACAAATAGTGAATAGGATTTAATTAAAGCGTAGGTAATCTAAATCACCAGGTTTTTTTTAATTAAAGATTTTAAAATAACGGAAATTGATATGACACGTCAAAAATATTTCATATTGCAACCCTTGAACTTATGAATGTTACGATTGGTACCTACGCGGGGTTCAAATCAAACCTATTTTCAGACAGGTTTTATGTGGTGCTGTGGTGATGTCGGATTTGGATGTGTGAGCGACTGTGTGACTGAACAGTTTGCAGATTGAACGTTTCTGTAAATCAAATTGAACGATCTGTAAAGTGGAGATTCAACCATAAAGTTGACGGTGTGAAATTTTGTGAACCCTAGTCTTTGTTCACCATGTGCATGTTAGTTAACTCATAATCACAATTTTCCGTGTTTATTAAAAGAATTAATTTAAAAAAAATACTTGTGCAGGTCCTTGATTAGCCGAATGGAAGCTGATTAAGTTGTAAAAGATTATTAAAAATCAATGTGTATACAATTTAGATCGTAACGAAGAATACTTAATTGTGAATGGCAGAAAGCGGGTGGTAATTTTGACAATGTCTTATAATTCATCACTTGATGACTTCTGTGGATCTAAATTTTGGGTAAGTCGGTCTTTGACCCTGACATATGTAACTAGCTATAACAATAAGTGTAGCGACAAACCTAAAAAAAGTTACGGGAAGGGTTATGGCGGGGTCGACGTTTTCTAAAACCTTGTATGTAAATATTACGAAATTTTCACTATAAACCAAATCACGGTAAAAATTACGTGTCATTTGTTTAGTTAATAAGCGTGAAAAAAGTTTTAAAAGACCTTACACATTTTAAGATTTAAAGACATTCTGTAATTTCACTAACATTACGTTTATACATCAATCAATTTGTGGGTTAATATTCATATTTATTAAATTATGTTTTCTGTTCAATTCCTATAATCTTATTTAAGAGGTTCACAACAACAAAACATGCAACCTTGACATTTTCTGTGTCTACTCAATAACTTGTTTTTATACTAAATAAAATATCTGACCTTTTATGATGAACTGAAAAGTAAAGACAATATAAATGCATTTGATACCAAGCAATGCACTTACAATCACACAGTGATTGACCATATTCTTTTAAATATTCTGTGGTTCAAAAAAATGATGTATAAAGCAAGATGTGTGATTTAGAACTAATTGGTCAAAAGTGCAACATTTTTCTTTCATTTTCATGAAGAGACAGTGAAAACACATGCAAATGCTGTATTTCCTTATTGAATAAACAGCAATGAACAAAAATAAAACATCTTATTTAAAGTATTCAATATTTATTATGTATTATTTTTCAAAGCTTTAATTGTAATTGAGTACTCAACTTGAGGGATATTTAGGTTTATGAATTCTTTTTTTGTTTATAAAACTTGTAGTAATTAAGTTTATTTTTGTGTCAAATAGTGTTTTAACTTTATGATACAAGCAGGAAAAATACAATGTTTTATGTTTGTATAATTATTTGTTTTTAGGATAGCAATTTAACTTGGTATACTGATAATCCAGAGTTTACACCATGCTTTGAAAAGACTGTGCTTGTTTGGACACCCTGTATATACCTGTGGGTGGCAGCTCTACTCGATGCCTATTATATTTTAAACAGCAAGGAGAGAAATATACCATGGAACATTCTTAATACCAGTAAATTACTTATAACATGTCTTCTAATTGTTTTAAAATTTGTGGATTTGGGTGTAACAGTTCACAAATCATCTAAAGAAGAGGAAGTATTCAATGCTGATTACTATAGCCCTATCATAAAGATACTGACATTTGTAAGTATCACTAATTTTCTTTACTAGTAATAGCCATTATTTAAAGTGTATATGTTTTTTATTTGTTATCTCACATTTGCAAGGGATACAAGTGGTTATGTTTATTTTGTTAATCAGTTTGTTGGTTTAATGTATTTTGCTTAATTATATCTATAATTTTAATGCCAATGTCAAATAAAAGAAAAGCTGTGTAACTGCCCTATCTCTAACATATACTGCTGTAGAGATTTCATCATGCAACATAAATAACTGATTATAAAGGATATATATCTTCTTTTCAAAACTGATTATGTCATTCACTTGAATACAAGTGCCTATCTAAGAGATGTATTTATATCTTTGAGACATAGTAACGGATCTCATAGGTCTTGTTGGCCTTGAGACCAGTATTATGAAACAGATTTATTTTCTATTCAAATTTCCTATTAATATTTCACATAGAAAATTGACGGATTTTTAACGTGCTCTATGAGAAATTTTGGTAATTTAAAGTCACTTATTTATTTACTAATTACATTTTGATACATATTTTCACCTGTCGCCATAGTGAAACTTGTAACTTCTTAATTATACCTTAGATTGTTTAAAAGAAACACGAAAGTTGATGTTGATAATTTGGTATAAGTTAAAGATCGGATTTCTCGAGTCAAGATTAATTTATAGGTATTCGCGAGTTTTAACGTCTGTCGTTCATGCTAGCAAAAAAAAAAGAACCTGTTTCTCTCATTCACTTAATACTGAAAAACACTGAGTATCGTCGATAAAGGTTAAAACATCACAATTCCCGTTCCTAGGTCGGTTTAACATAGATATATTGCAACTCTGCAGTACAATAGTAGGGAGTGTAGTGTGTATTGTGACTCCACTGTAGATAGCCAGCTGCTACTAACGGATGTCTCAACATTGTTCTTTACTCCATTTTACTTCCCTTCACATATGTATAATGGTTATATTTGAGAGTAGTGAATAACAAACATAACAAAAACTTAATATCTGTCGCACTGAGTGTCCCTCGGTTGTAAAGACGCTAGGAGGCCACGTCGAAACCCACAGTTACAAGTTCTGTAAGACCGTAGTAACTAGTTAAGTAAGACTGTCGAATCTGTAAAATACAGGAGGTATTTTAACGTGAGATGAGTGCGAATATGAAATAACCTCTGCGCCGATAACTGTAATCTTTGTTAACCATGAAAAAACAGAATGCACACTAAATACTATTTTTGTTTTTTACGCGAACACCTTATTTTACTGAGTGCATCAGCTTCTACTGTTGCACAAATGGGCAGTTTCATCCAAGGAAGTACCAAGACCTCTAAAAAGACCGCGGGAAAATATTATTCGCCTGTCCTCCAGTAGCTGAGGTTGTCGGGGCTGACTTCTCTAATGTTTGGGAACACATCTGCAACCCGTCAGGTGTAATAGGTGTCCCTGGGCGGCTTTAATCCATTAACTACAGGTGAAACCGCCAGCCAACTTTTAAAATAAACGTGAAATAAGTTTACTCACACAATTGAGACGAATATAACGACACCTTATCCTTACTAATATTATTAACGCGAAAGTTTGTTTGTATGGATGGATGTTTGTTACTCTTTCACGCAAATACTACTGAATGCATTATAATGAAACTTTACAGGAATATAGCTTATACATCAAAATAACACATAGGCTATGATTTATACAGCATGTCGTTACAACCGCGACAATAAATGAACAAACGTCTAACGCTACTTGCCAATAATGATAAAAGAATATAAAACGTTAAAAAAATCTATAATTAAAAAAATATATTTTTTCAAACAAACTAATTAAATAAAAAAGAAACAAAATTTGTAACATCTATACAACTACAGCTGATTGATTCATACATTCAGAGACTTTTTCATTCGTTGCCACAACATTGAATTAAGTCTCCTAACAGTATGTTTTATCTCTTTTAAATTCATTCAACGCATTCATATGCTTTGTGACCTTTACAAATGAACTTTACGTTACAGTTTTATACGTAAGGGTGTCCTAAATATGTTTGTTAAGTAAAATTTATTATCTCTGTAAATATTAATGTTTAAAGAATGTAAATGCTTAATAAAATTTTAAAAAGTTATATATGTGTGTTCATTTATTGTCGCGGTTGTAACGACACGCTATATACTTATTTTATGTATATCTGTCTTTCTTTCTGAATATTAAGCCCTCAGCCTATTCTACGCAGACGTAGTAGCGGGAAGCAGCTAGTATGTTATAATCCGTTAAGAGGCTTAGCCGTGATAGCTCAGTGTCCGGGCGCTCGCTTTTCATTCAATATACTCGAGCAACCTGAGTTCGATCCCCGGTGCCGGCACCAATAAAATTGTTAATTTTAAGTGCCGAATTATCACGTGCTCAGCGGTGAAGAAAAACATCGTGAGGAAACCTGCATATTTTCGAAATAATAATAAAAAAATATTTCGAAGATATGTGAAGTCCGCGTGGTGGACTACCCTGACACCCTCTGTACAGAGGAGGCCTTTGCCCAGCTGTGAGACATGTATAGGCTGATACTATACTATAATAGGCTTAGGCTTTAGAAGTAGTAGTAGGCGTAAAGATTTAGATTTATGTATACGCTGAAAAACATTACCTTCCTTCGGCAGCCGGATAAAAAATGTGAATTTATCAAAGTAACTGTTTTGTCTTTCACGGCAATCATGTTAGTTTTGCTTTTATTTCATTATCCGCCGTAACACGTTACAGTGATAGTATCAGTGGAATGCAGTTTTCAGCTACGGATCATGTCTAAGTGAAACGAACTGCTATTGTCAAGCCACCAGTGATAAATGAGACTTATTTGCAGGGATTATCAGCCACGTTGTTGTACTATAACCGGAAGTATGGGATGAGGGCATCTGGGGTTTTGTTCTTCTTCTGGCTCCTGTTGATCCTGGCGGGATTACCACAGCTGAGAACGGAAGTGATGGCCCATTACAAGTTGGCCGACGACGAGAACGTCCAGTACAACTTCGTCAGTTACATGATATACTACCCAATGATTCTGTTGATGTTCGTACTAAACTGTTTCGCCGATTTGCCGCCGAAGGACACACCGTATAAGTATGAAAAGGTATGGCCATATGTAAGAATGTAAGCGAAGCACTTTGTTCATTAAAAGTGAGAATGCTTTACAGCCGCAGTTGGAACTGTTATGACGTCAAATAACTGTACTTAACGCCTTGTTTCCTGTTTCCTATCTATTGTGTTCCGACTTCACAGCGCTTCGAAGTATCAAATACTACTTTTAAATTTAAATCAATGATTTAAAGTTGCATGTGTGCGAGTTTACGAACATTTTAATTTATTTATTTAAAACATGTCACACATTCGTAGACTTACAGAGCGAATTTCGTTCCGCACGACCGCTCCCAGCGCTTTAATTTTATAAAACAAGTCTTTTTGGCAATTGAAGTCTTTTAACCTGTTATTTAGTGTATTATCATGTTGGTAACATTGACCCCGTAAACTCGACACGTTAGCGGTCAGGTCGTAGCAAGGTAAGCTATTGTGTTTTAACTTTAACGAAGTCTTACTAATTAAGGTGACTTACAAGTATTTCATTCATAACTATTTTAACAGCAGTGAGCTCAGTGTCCGGGCTCTCGCTTTTAATTCAATATACTCGAGCAACCCGAGTTCAAATACCGATACCACTAAAATGGTTAATTTTAAGTGCTGAATTGCACGTGCTCACCGGTGAAGGAAAACGTGAGGAAATCAGCGTATTTTCGGAATAATATCAAAAAAAATCGAAGATATGTCAAGTCTACCAATCCCCAGGGAGGATGCGTGGTTACACCCTGATACTCACTTGACGGAGGAGGCCTTTGCGCAGCAGTGGGATTTGTATAGAATTTGGGTACGCATTTGAATTTGGTACGACATATTCAATAGAACCAATGCCCCGAGAGCGCCGCTGGTTTCCCGAGCCGGCTGACGTTCAGCTGGTTCGACCCCCTGGCCCTGACCGGGTTCCGGCGCAGCCTGACGGAGGCCGACCTGTGGGCCCTCAACCCCCCAGACTCGTCCAAGGAGGTGGTGCCCAGGTTCGACAAGTTCTGGGGCAGGACGCTGCAGAAAAGGGAGATGTGAGTATCGGCAGCGTTTGGAAGCGATATTTTTTTATTTTATTTATTTATTAAGTGAACAATTCGACATAAATATATTTATCGAAAAATTGTGAAAACAATTTATCGGCGACACAATGCACTCTTACAAAATTGTCTCTTAAATAACAAAATAAAATTAGCATACACTTGTAGTTAAAAAAAATATAGACCCATCAACGGCAACGATCGAAATGATAGAGGTAACTGGGAACTTAAGCCTTCGCCTATAAGCGAAATGCTTATAGCGTGTACTTTTATTCCGATGAAAAGTGCACTATTTGATAAATATCCTTACATATGATTTTTCTTATGTCATTGTTTTAATGTAAGAAAAGTTAAAGTAACTGTTCTCTCAATACGTTATGCTTATTTTGATTATGCTCACTGCTAGTGCTGTTAACATATTAATCAAGATAAAGTCTGACATCGGTGTATATTTAGAATGGAAGTGCGGCCGTTGGTAAAGCAGTTTTTCGTGCGATTATAAAAAACCGGCCAAGTGCGAGTCGGACCAGCCCACGAAGGGTTCCGTGCCATTATCTATAAAAGCGGCAAAAAAATATCATGTCTGTTATATGGGAGCAACTCAAATATTTTTTTATTCTGTTTTTTGTATTTGTCGTTATAGCGGCAACAGAAATAAATAATCTGTGAAAATTTCAACTGTCTAACTATCACGTTTCATGGGATACAGCCTGGTGACAGGACAGACAGAAAATTCCAACTCTCTAACTATCACGATTCATGAGATACAGCTTGGTGACAGACAGACAGACAGACTGCGGAGTCTTAGCGATAGGGTCCCGTTTTACCCTTTGGTTACGGTAGAACCAAAGGGTAAAAAACTACGAATTCTATCAATTTTCGCTATTCCAACAGCTCGAACGGCACCAAAGCGACGTACAGCAAGACCTCCGCCAGCGTGAACTTCAAGCCGGAGAACGAGAGGAAGCCGGCCTCGATCCTGCCCGCGCTCTGCCTCGCCTTTGGAGGGCAGTTCCTCTTCGGCGCACTCCTCAAGCTGTTCAACGACACGATGATCTTCATCTCGCCCCAACTGCTCCAGTGAGTTCGCGAAAAGGTTCCTATAGTTTGTGTCTCCGGTCACGTCTTTGACAGCGGTAGCAATTGTTTTTTTTTTTTTTATTTATTTGTTACAGTTGGAAACGTTCCGATTCTTTTTTTTTTTATGTGAAAAGTTGTCAAGCGAGCAGACGGTCCACCTGATGTTAAGTGAATACCGCCGCCCATGGACATCTGCTACACCCTTGGGTTTCAAATGCGTGGACAACCTTTGAAAATTGGGCTCCGGCTACCTCACTCACCAGACGGAACGCGAATTTATTATACACTGTACACCGGTCTTCTGTGAGTTCGTGGTACTTACCCGAATGATGCTGTCCATCAGTGCAACAGCCGAGGCTGCTGCGTGGCCCTACCACCGTGAAAACCGATTCGAGATTTAGTCTGATCAAATATTAGGATTAAAGGTTCTTGTTTTTGACTGTAGTATTTTTTACTTACTTACTGTAGTATTTAGAATATTAGTATTTTAATTTTATATAAAGTGTTAATAGTTTCATTATCCGGACATAGATGAAACAAAATATACGAAAAGCTTTTCGACGGCGTGGTAATCGAACCCGCACCTGCCGGAATCGCGCTCGGACGCTTTACCAACTAGGCTAAACGGTAGATTGACGCGCCGACGAAAATCTCGACGTATTTTATCTACTCGTTTTTCGCATTTTAATAGGCAATGCGGGCAAACATTTTAGTATATGAATATAATAGAGTATCGCGCTGAACTGGAACGTCCGATAAGGTCGTTGACCCAGCGATCGCTCGTTTTAAGCTATTGAGTCGTTCAATATAGTTTAACTAAATGTTAATAAGCAAAATAAATGTATGCTGTCTTAATTTTTACATACCTTTCTAACATAGGCTAGCTACAGTGTTGTCAGAGGTCTAAGTGTGGTAACTTAGGAATTTATTACTCAATATAGCTTTATTGATGCGGTCGATATATTTCAATATGTAAATAGGTTATATAAATATTACAAAACTTTCATGGTCGATTAATAGGTGTCACAAGCAACAGTTACTCCGTTGACTTAAAATGTGTTGATAAAATTGTCGAAAATGTTTCATCGCCGCCAGGATCCGAACTTGCACCTTCTTGATTACGCGTCAACTCTCTCTAGCCACTTTGCTATGCTGTCGACATCACCGCGTGAAAATCTCGACATCTTATCTTTGTTTTCTTGTGTTTTGAGTAATGCTTATCGTTATCTAATAATAATCCTTTACAGTACACCTAAGATATAATATCTAAAGTGACGTTTTTAAAATAATATTTGTAAAATAGAAACGTCGTTTCGTCCGGAAGGCGCGGTATACAACCGCCGGGGTTGTAACCCACGCCTTGGTAGAAAATTCTCGATTTTTTTCAACATCGTCGTAACAGACATCGTGGTTGCCTTTTCATAATGATATCTTGAATACTAATGGTTACAATTAAATGAAATTTTGTATTTATACCCTCAAAGACTTTAACTAATTAGTACTTACTTAGATAATTTAATTACCCTCTTCATTATTTTATAAATTACCCCGGTTCGTAACTTGCACGTTAAGTGCAGAGACCAGCACTAAAAATTTACACCTCATTGGCTTTTCGATTGTTATCGATCGTCATATGCCGAAACATCGCTGCGTTATTCGGGCGGACGGATCGGCAACGATCTCATCCCCAAACAAGGCTTCCAACACCTTTTAATGTGGTAAAACCACGAGTAGCTTTTAGTCTTGCACGAATGGGCAGGCTCGTCCGGGTAAGTACCATGGACTCATTTTTAGTGCTACCGACTCGCGTTCGAGTTCACTTTAAAGTTATACCAGTGCTAATGGCATAGATTATGGTGAGTAATAAATGTTGCACGAATGGGCAGGTCCGTTCGGCGAAGTACCACGTTATGTAATAGAAGTTCTGCGTTCTCAGGTCTCCTGCGTTGCAGGTGTCCATGGCCGGACTTAATACAAAGTGAACCGCCTGCTCACTTGACAACTTTTCACATAAAAACCCACGTGAGGAGTCATACGAGCAATTGACAACGGTTTAATTAAATAACTTTGAATTGGTGAATATAAAAGATGTTATTGGTCGCCATGGTGACACCGTGAAGTTGATGTCGCTTTCGGATTATATAAGTATGTGCGTACATAATACGCGCGTGAGAAGTTATACTTCTATAACGTAAATACATTAAATGCAATTGATAACGGTTTATTTGAATAACTCAAAACTATTGGTGAACGTCAAAAAGTTGTTATTGGTTGCCGAGATTTAACTTTTCCGATTTCGGTGCGCGCTCCCATCGTAGCAATTTAGCTCCTTTAATTTTTCCAAACGCGTCGAAATACAACTTGAAAAAAAAAACCGCCTAAAGGTTTCCCCACTAACGCATTTCGCGTGTTTCGCGTTTTAGGCTCCTAATAGAGTTCGTGAACGGCAACGAGCCCGTGTGGAAGGGATACGTGTACGCGGTTGCTCTGTTGGCCTGCGCCACCGTTCAGACGATGCTCCTCGCCCACTACTTCACGAGGATGTACTTCGTGGGCATGAGGATCCGGACCGCCCTCACCAGCGCCATCTACAGGAAGTCGCTGCGGATGTCGAACGCCGCTAGGAAGGAGTCCACCGTTGGGGAGATCGTCAACTTGATGTCCGTCGACGCGCAGAGGTACTTAAATTATACTTAAAGATACTTCTCAGTAACTGTGACATATATCAAGTGATATTGTAGAGGACAGTGAAGTTTTAGTCAAATTTGTCAGTATAATAGACAAATTTTCGGTAAAGGTCACTTTTTGAAAGTGTCCTCTTTTAATTTTGCATTTTTATATATTGATCATAAGTAAATTTGAATAGCCCTAAAAGTTTTTGTTAGATTTTTCAAGATAGTAGTGATCTTACAGCCCCCATTAAAATATTAACTGCCTAATTTTGATTAAATTTGTTGCCTTATTTGCAACCTATGAACCTTTGAACAAATTAATTTATTTATGACAGTTAAATTCTAATTGAAGCCTCAGAACATGTCATTTACCAGAGTTACATTACATGTTAACGAAATAAATATCTTTAGAACACGCCAAAACGTGTATTAGCCCGCGATATCGAATCCGTTGCACTTTCACTGCGAGCGCTTTCGACTTATCTAGCTGTACACGAGAAGCAGTGTTGACCCGATTTTCGTTTTATTTATATTTCGAATTGACATTCACTCACGTAAATATGCGATGTAAAAATAAAAATAAAATCGAGTCAACCTCGCAATGTGCCAGTGTTAAGTATTATTATTATTAAAAAAAAAACATCCGCCTTTCGTATGTGTCACGCGCAATGTCATATCACGCCCGATTGCTTTGCAGGTTTCTAGAATTAACAGCGTACTTAAATATGATATGGTCGGCTCCTCTGCAGATCGCACTGGCATTGTACTTCCTATGGGGCATTCTGGGCCCGTCTGTACTCGCCGGTCTGGCCGTAATGATCGTACTAATACCAGTCAACGGCCTTATCGCAAACAGGGTGAAAACCCTCCAGATCAAACAGATGAAGTACAAAGACGAAAGGGTCAAACTCATGAACGAAGTACTTAACGGCATTAAGGTGGGTACACACTCGGTCGAGATCGAACCCGTTTCTGTTACGTGGGCCCACACCGCACCTAATCTCTCAAGGCCCTATTTATCTCGCCGATATCTGTTTCTGCGCGGTTGATAACTTATCGCAACGGTGCGCCTACTTTCTGAATCAGGAAATGAAAATTCTGGGATAAAATCCGGTCTCTATTAACACAAATTGGCCGATCTGATGACCGCAGAAGACGTTCCTTTTAGACATTACTGAAGGTCACGTTAAGCGCTGTCTCGTGATTTAACAACATTAGGCTCATGTAATGAAATCAAAACAGAATCTTAACTTTATTAACCTCAAACTGGCTTAATTCTGCCCTATGATTATGCATACATTTACCTATATTAAGTAATGAGTGAAATTTCCTTTCACATCACGCCCAAAGCTATTGCGTCATAATGTTTTTCCTATATGACGTAATAATGATAATATTGTTCGATCAAGGTCCTCAAAATGTACGCATGGGAACCAAGTTTCGAGGACCAGATACTTAAAATACGAAACAAAGAGATGGTCGTTTTGAGGCAAACCGCATATCTAAATTCGGCGACGTCGTTTATATGGTCATGCGCCCCATTCCTGGTAAGTACAGATTTTATTTGTGTGCATGTTTTTTTTTTTCTTCATAATTTTATATTTTATCTATGCGGCGCTGATACTTAAGCGCCGTATTAACGATTTATTTGCGTGCGTTTTGTCCAAATCTAGCGCGTTATCTTAATTAGGGATTATTGAAAATATTATATGTTTTCGATATATACAACACCGATTTGTATTCATCGTTTTGATTTAATTGACATTTATGATTTACGATACGAGGATAGTGATGGATTATGACACTGCCGAAGAACAATATTGTGCAATGTAACTTTATCGTGTCGTATCAATTCAAGCATAACAAATAACTGTCATTGATTCGAAATCATGGATACCTACCTGATACATTCCCACTGACTGTGCTAAGGATGGTAAAAAAAATCATAGAAAAATTGAAGATCACAAAGGAAAATTGTTTAATTTTCTTAACAGAGTGGTTTGAAAGATGTAATTCGTTAGACTAAATTTAAAAAGTACCCGGTTGTCAATAATACTTTCTTTGAATTAACTAGCGAGTCTTAAACACTGTAGCTTATAATTGTTTATATTTATTATTATATTGTAATATTTTGTATTTTAATACGATCGTTGCCAATTACTTGGCCTGCATTTCTTGACACGTACTAAAAATATGTATTTCATCCTCGAAATGCGGGTTTGATTACGATGTGTTTCTTCAACCTCACCATTGCTAACGCCGATTTTCGTGACTTGTGCACGTTGCGGCTGAAGATATTATATTGTATTTATCATACAGTCATTATTGTGTGGTACGGTACAAGTGTCGCGTTGGTGATTTTTTTTTCCAACAGTCCGTATTGCCCATTGTGGCAAAGCGCGCTCTATGTGGATCAAGGTCGGTCGACGCATTTTACTAGATTCAAGTGATTGGGCAACGCGTTGTCAATAAAGCTGACTCGTCTTAACAATAACGTATTTATGTCAGTTTCGGCCGCTCGCAGAGACGTCAATCACCCCCTTGCTAACTTTAAATTCGATCTCTTGCAAATAACAGCCACGGAGGATTAAACTAGAATCGGATTTATGATAGAACTGAGCGTGATGCCACGGTTGTCAAGGTATTGGCTTCGGCCTCGGGGGTCATGGGTTCGTTTCTCATACGGGTCAAAAATTTGTGTGACCCACAGATAATTGTTTAGCATCTAGGTGTTTGTCCACGTGATATTTATGTATGTCGAATGTCCTTACAACACAGGATAATGATATCCCATAGTAAGGGCAATGTTTTAAAGGTGTAAGAAAAAAGAAAATAATAATTTAATGATAGCTAAATTATAAATGGCGTTTTCGAGCAGCAACATTTTGATTATATAAATAATAAGCGATCATTATGTTCTTATTTAATAATCATGCTTAATAAGGTACTGTTGAATTATGCATTAAATTATTCTGTTTATTACATAGAATGTACTTATTCAGATAATGCATACAGGTGAGCTTTGAAGTATAAACTCGATGCTGAGAAGAGGAAAAAGGATAAAAAATTTAAATATAATTTGTCGCTCATAATTAAGGAATAGATAGATTAAGTTTGAAATTTCAGGTTAAATGTACATGCTGAACAAATCTAAGAATAAAACTAATATTATGCAATGTCATATCTAATGACTACAATAGTTGTATGTATGCTATTAGGTGGTTTGTTAAGAAATCCAGTAGCGCCTCGCGTGTGTGACGTCACTGCCTAAATACTGTAATCATGCCTGTGTTTATTTTCCTTTCATTGACGTTTCAAATTTAACAATGATTAGCTTTATTGTCGATCTTCTATCGGGACATATAAAATCCCGAATGAAAAACTCTATGGAAATAATGTGTCGTAAAAATTTCGAGCGAAATTACGAACAGTCCGAGAGCTTGAGACTAAATGATAAAATGATATTCAATTTGTACTTTGGCCGGTGACGTCAGGTTGTTTTTTTCTGTTCAAGGTGATCTTCCTAACTTTCTTCACGTATGCGATATCAGACCCCGAGAACCACGTACTGAGACCGGACACGATATTCGTATCGATGTCACTGTTTTTCGTAATGCACTTGCCGTTAGGTCTACTGCCCCTCATCATCGTGTCTGTGATCGAGGTAGTGTCGTGTTCACGCCACCCCCTATAAGGCTGTGGTACCCGCATAACTAACACGCACCCGTGCGCTCATTGGTGGTTTTTTTAATCTGTATCATCCTTATATTATTATCTGTGCAACAAGCGGGACCGCCCGCTCGGATGGTCGCGTCGGCATCGGTGCATTCGATTTATATTTTATATTTTCGGTTTTCGTCGCTATGAAACTGCAACTCGGTCCGTTTTTCCGAAACGGGTACAGAAAAAATAATAACGTTATTCATTTCTTCTTACGTCTTTTTATTCACGTTTAGAGTAATAATGAATTACATTAAATTTGTACGGTACGTTTTCCGAAACGGGTATAAAAATAATAATAACGATATTTCGTTCTTCGTCTCTCGTCTTTTTATTCACGCTAATGACTTGCATTAATATTGTTTCCGTAGGTATGTACCCGTTTTGTATAAATTCAACTCTATAGATAATTTAAACGTTGCTATAGAGATAAAGGAATGTTTGAAATGCACTCGAAGCTCTTGTGTTGTTTTGAAAACGTATGTTTAATACGACCGCCTGTCAAAAGGTTGCGCAATCGTGAATTTCTTAATTGGCATCGACATTGTGAAACATTGCGTACCCATTTCCGTGAACAATTTTAAATTAAATTTTATCAAAATCAAACTGCTATTTAAATAAATGGTATCGACGATCAAAATCTAAATATAGGAAACCATAAAGAACCATAGATTTACATTGTTTATTTAATTGTATAAAAGGCGGCTTGTTATGTAGTTATTTATAAAACCTTTTTTTTTAAAAACAAAACAAATAGTTTCAACATTCGAAATGCTCTACGAGAGGCGTGCATTCTATTCGAATTATTCACTAAAACATTCGGTTGCAGTTCCGAGTTGCGAAAACAATATATACTAACAATAGTCTAAACGTGTCATGTTTTCTGGAATGGTGTCGTAGGTGTCGCTGATGTCATTCGGGTGCTTTGTACTGGTAAACGAAACTGAAGTGCTGGACTCTAAGAGGGCTTTCGTAGCGTTATCTCTTTTCAACATCCTGCGTTTTCCGCTATCCATGCTGCCTAACGTTATATCGAATGTGGTACAAGTAAGTCGACAATGGTTATTAACTACCCACCCCCTTTTTCGACAGTAGTTTTAAAGAATAATACATAATATATAAGACATATTTTATAGTAACAATTTCTCGGTTTGAAGTAAAAAAATCTTTCATTTTTCTATTAATTTGCTGATCATTAATTGAATAGACGGTGGAGGTGACTTTAATTATGAGCATGTTATTTTAATTTGGATTTTGTGTACAGTACAGTGTTCCTATTATTGAACTATTCATAAAAATCTAAAGATTTTAATTTTTGTTTTCTATCTAAGCTAAAGAAATATATAATAGTAAAACAATTGTCGGTTGCTTCGACTGTACATACATTTCCTAAAGTTAGACTAAAATAGTAACATAATTATTTAAAAAAAAACTCCTCTTATAAATCTTATATTTTAGACGTCCGTTGGAATCAAGCGATTGAACAAGTTCATGAATTGCGATGAACTCGACGTGAACTCCGTGGAACATGACCCGAAAGAGCGTGAGTATTAAAAAACTTTATATAATTTCGTTTTTAAGTAATAATTTATTTGCTGAAAATTATATATGGGAGCCTCGTATGTGCCAGAGATTTTTCATTATTATAAAATGTGTTTGTATTGTCATCTAAGCCACCTCACAAAACACATATTCATCCCAAATATCATAATTACTATCGATGGATACATTGTTTACGCTAGCCTGACCTTAATGATCACTATACGTCTGAGAGCAGTTAATGTTGAAATAATTTTATGATAGTTTTGTTTATAAAAATTAAACAAATTATTATTACAAAAATTATTAATTGATTTCACACATAACGGCTTCCTCTTTTCCCGGGTTTGGCTTGAATTAAACCAACCTCTAATAAATAATAAACAACACTGCGTAACTCAACGCCTATTACGTGTTAAAATTGATTTTTCAAAGTCTAGCCGCGTTTCGGCCGGTGCGCATTTTATGTAATAAATGACGTGCTGCTAAACGATTGCACAGATTGCTTAGCAACACGTTATTTATTACATACGAATATGTTAAAGTACAGTTAACAACCTCCTTAATCTACCCGTTATCGGATTCATTGTCTGAACAGTAAATGTCATTCGAGGCGTATGTTTGTTCGCTGTATACGCGGCCCGTTGGTAAACAAATGTGATACGGTTAATTGCGTCCCATCGCAGAGAACGATGATTAAAATTTGCCCGTAATAGATTGATTAATTGAAAAGGCACTTATTGTCGAACAAAGCGCATTTGCGGATTTTAACGTGTTTAATTTCCATTTTAAATCGGTGCAATTGTAAATTGGTTTCGTATAACAATGCGTGGTGTTCGCGTGAAAGCGATAAATTTTTGAATGCTATATAGTTTTTTGATTAACACAATAATTTATTATAATAAAGTTCCGAACAAAAATATTAAATTGAATTTGAAAAAAAACCTTTAAAATACTACATATTTAGTTTAATAAATTGAATACTAATAAACGGCTGCCTATTCGACTTGTCAATTTATACTATGCTTATACAAATACGTACACAAGACCACTAAGAGAAAAGTTTATTATGGGCTCGCTGATTCTGTGAATGTGTAAAGGGAAATGTCCGATTAAAGGCCCATTTACACGGTGCCAGTTTCTTGCCTGTTGTATACAATTAAATTGAAGCAATAAATGAGTTGCATGGTCTAAACAACAAATGGTCTTAACAATTATTGCGCGCAATTTATTGCATTCAATTATTGCTCTTGTGTATACAAGAAAATGGCATCGTGTAAATGGGCCTTAAATCAAATACAACTTTAATCATAAACAGGCGACTGTTTCTGTGCGTAGCCCAACTTGATTCTCGGCCCAAGAGTGAGGTCGGGTTGGTTCTTTAATAGCTGAATACAAGTTTCGTGGCGATTTAACTGCGCTTCTAAAACCCGATCCGACGGGTACTCCTCGAGGCGAGTTGGCGGCGACTTTATTTTTACCGCCAACTGGCTTGCGCTGGCCACTATCGCCCGTAATGGCCCATAGAGCCATAGATGGAAACGCATCGGCCCGGTGAAAGTCCAATCGATCGCGTTTTCAAGACTGCCACGTGGCAATCGTTAAGATGACCGTAGGTCGCGCAGTAATCCAAAATGGACGACCATTAAAGTAGTATATAGATACTACACGATACATAAATACATGTATATGTAAGCAGTAATATAAGCTGTTACATTTCATTTTTGTATTGTGTTTGAAATTTTATTAGTTATTACATTATCAACTCAATTGTTTAATGATGATAAATTTATTATATTATAATGAAATATCTTTTTAATATTTACACGCCTATCAAGCAGTCAGTAATCATAAGGATTTTGGATAAATAGTTCTAAGACTATAGTAATATGCAAACCTTGTTCTTGCCATATAAATGCTATTCTATAAAAAGAAAGATTGAAATAAATTTAATAATCGGTAATTGTATACATTTTTTTCGTAATCGGACGTATAGAAAGCTTATTTTCTTATGCCTTTCCACCAGCGCTCGAACATTCTTATATAAATAATTCAAAATTATACAATTGTACATCAATTATAAACATTTCTTGTCTCATTTGTAAGACATCTAAAAAAATCTACTGGGAACGTCAAGCCATTCGTGGATCCCTTTCCGTGCGCCGATCCTTTTCTTAGGTCACCTCGATAGTTTAATAAAACTGAAGATAGGGTGAAAGGAACATGGCTAATTCCTTTTGGCAGAGTCCCACGATACGATCAAGCTTTAGTTGCCAAGGTATCGGCTTTAACATCGGGGTCGTGGGTTTAATTCCCACATAGGACATCTGAAACAATTATTTGTGTGACCCACAAATAATTGTTTCAAATCTGTGTGTAATTTACGTTTTTGAAACGTAGAAGGACAATGTTTATTAAAAATCTCTTATAGCAAAAACCCCCCTTAGAGCGCGCAGAAGTCTCTCTAGTGAGATGTCCATTATCTATATCAATTATTTCAAAGTATAAGAAGTCCAAGTGAAAATTCTTTATTTAACTCTGGCTCTTTTCAAGCACTTGTGATCGTCACCGATTCATTATTTTGATCAGTTCGAAAAAGAATTTGCATTAAATTACAATAGCACTTGTGCTCTTTTAATAGTTTTGTTTCCTTATTTTTACATCACAATACTAGCTTATAGTCGGCAGTATCAAAGGTAGTAGAAGACCTGAGCAACAGTCGTAACTGCTTTTACAGGAATGGACAGGCTAGGGATGTCGAAAAAATATCAATGTATTGATATTTTTGATTCTATAAATCGATACAAAATATTCAATATCGAAAATTGTATCAATGATATTTAATATACGGATTCCACAGGATCTTTTCCGGGTAATAAAGGATTCGTCCGGAGATTACCACGGCTTTAAAGTTTCCCCTTCGTGAAGTTTAATGTTGTATACGTTTCGTCTAGTGAATGAAATATCCTTGCCCACTGTTTTAAAAGTTTGGTAACGGATCTTCAACCTAAAAGGTCTTGAAATTGTCGATGGTCGGAATCAAAAAACATCATGTGAACCTCACGATCTCTTGCCATTCTCTCACCAGGAATGAATATTAACGTACGTTGCAAAATGTTGTTCGTTTCAACCATATGCTAACAAGAGATTAGTGTATTATCGGAATGTAAACAATTTATAAACGATACAACAACTTTAATTGCGGCTTTATCTGTACTGCTACTATCAGTAGTTTTTTTTATCAAGGCCTATCTTTTAGTGTACCGTAAACAAATCCGTAAAACGCCCGTTGAAGAAATTCCTGATCGTCGATAATAACCCGCTTGACAAGGCTACAAATGCCAACTTAATGATTCAGGTATTCTTTTGTTCTTCATTTAGGGTTGATCTCTTTAGGGCGAAATTGAGACGTTAAGTAAATAACATCACATTGGTTTGTTGCTCAAGTGGCGATTTACTAATAAGTATTACATTCCATTTCAGTATAGTGCAAATTGTCTTTGAGTATAATATCAGCAGAGAACTCCATAAGTATAGTCACTACATAGCATAAAACAAAGTCGTCCCGCTGTCTGTTTGCTCCTATGTATACTTAGATTTTTAAAAATACGCAAAGGCTCTTGATGCGGTTCTTTTACTAGACAGAGTGATTCTAGAGGAAGGTTAATATGCATTAGTAGTAATAGTAATAGTATGGGTCGCTAGTATTTTATAGTAGTATAATTGTCATATTATATTTATAGTCATACGGAACACTAATAGGCCAAAGATAAATATTATTTGCTGCTGAACGATTTCTCCATGCGGAAATGTATTATATACGCAAACTTTTATTTCTTTAAAACAATATGTAATTAGGAATCAAACAAATATTTGAAATGCAATTAAAGTAATTCTCAAGAATTTCCTGCTCTTGTTTGACCTTCAGATTTACTGACTGAATGTATTTTTGTTTTCACTCGGTTTTAAGGAGGCAAGGAGGTAGAGTTTCAAATATGATTTGATTGTTAATTCTCCTAGATTCTTAAAGAATTTTGAGATAAAATTTCCTACTATGTGTTACTTTTAATAACCACAATACGAGCTCACTTCTTTAAGCCAATGATAAGCAGAGAATGTTGTGTTTGTTTTCTATAATTTCACTGAAGTCGACGCAATGAGCTGACATACATTGTTAATTGAGAAGCCAACGAACTGTACAACTCTCCAAACCGTCCGTTATTTGACGCGGGTATTGCCTATCAGGTCTTGGGTCACAAGACCTCGGAAGTAGACAAGTTTTTCGTGAGACACGCGACTGTAATAAACATTTTACATAGGATATATACCGTAGCTTCAACGACGTGGACAATTTAGTTGTTCAATTGTAAGTGTAAACACCATATAGATATGTCTTACTATTGGGCAAAGGCCTCCTCTGTACAGAGGGTATTAGGGCATAGTCAACCACGAAACGTCACCGCGGACTTCACATATCTTAGAAACAATTTTCGTCTTATAGTCTTACCACCGCCCATCATGCCCATCATGCGCCCATCATGGACATCTGCTACACATGAAGGGCATGCATGCCCTTCATGTGTAGCTGCAGGGCTGCATATGCGTTGACAAGATTTTGTAAATTGGGCTCCGGCTACCTCACTGACCAGACAAAACGCGAAAGTATTATATTTTCACTTTACGCCGGTCTTCTGTGAGGTCGTAGTACTTACCCGGACGAGCCTGCCAATTTGTGCAACAACCGAGGTTGCTGCGTGGCTCTACCACCGTCTAATATGGTTGCTTGAGTATATTGCATTAAAAGCGCAGCGACACTGAGCTATCACGGTTTACTTTTAGTTGTAAAATGCGTGAACATTAAATCTAAAATGCGCACTTTGTATGGCAGCCGTTTTTAAGTTTACTCGTTATTGGCAACTACTTTATCAGTTATTTATTTTAATGGAATTGGAGTAATTTATTCGGAATATCTTGTACAAGCGACCCGCCCCGGCTTCGCACGAGTGCAATGTATTATACATATAATTCTTCCTCTTGAATCACTCTATCTAGTTAAAAAAAACCGTATTAAGATCCGTTGTGTAGTTTTAAAGATCTAAGCATACATAAGGACAGACAGACAGCGGGATGACTGTGTTTTATACTATGTAATATCTTGTATAATAACACATCACTTATAACACTAATAGGATACTAACTATGACTGTGTCTCTTGTATGTCAATATACAATTTTCTTGTCCAAGTTCGGGATGCCATACGATGTTTGATCCGTCAACAGCGGACCCCCTCGTGATAGAGAACGGCCACTTCTCCTGGGGCGAGGAGCAGCCGGTGCTGCGCAACCTAAGCATCAGGATCCCGCGCGGTTCCCTGGTGGCCGTGGTGGGTGCCGTCGGCTCCGGCAAGAGCTCCCTCCTGGCCGCCTTCCTCGGCGAGATGGACAAGATATCCGGCCGCGTGAACACGCACGGTGAGTCGCACTCTGGTTTGTTTTAGTTTATTTTTTTCTTTCATCGCAACCGGCCAGTGCCTGAGTAACCTCGGCCGCATCGCCTGATAATCGCTGGACTAAATATTCGACATAAGATTAGGGCTGAGATTATTAGCGATTAGATTCGTGGTAAGATTACCTCTGGGGTGAAGATATCGGTGAGAACCCGTAGTTTTTTTTTATTATTCGAAAACCTTAATTCCTAATATTGCACCATACAGAATGTTTATCAAAGCAAAAAAAAACAGCAGCGTTTAATGTGGTAATACTTATAATAACCCATCTAGACCGAGGTCTGGGCTAGGCTTTACTTTTTATTCAACGTCTGTTTAGTGCTAAATGTTACCGAGATGCAGCTAAATGACTGATAAGTACAATTGTTAGTCACTAAAGAAAGTGTACCTAGTAAGTAAAGTTAGTGTATTTAGTTAGTAAAATTAGTTTCTGCAGTTCTTGAGTTGCTGTATAGGAATAATGATTTGACGGACAGTGAAACTGCTCGTATTGCTAACGGCTCAATTTTACTTTTAGAGCAGCTATATCTCGCAGGCAAGAAAACGCGTGTAACGTAAAAGCAATTAAATTTCGCGTTTATGCGGTATTAATCGCGTTTAGTCTGATGCCCACTGTACTAAAGGTTAACAACACAGTTGCTATATCATTGTAATTTCGTAAGTCAAAGGAGCGACGATACAGTTTTATGATTATATACGGCCTGCCCGATTACCAACTTATCTTGGACCATAAAAAACTAATCCCAATAACTTGTTTTCATTCTACAAAATTGACACTTACATTTTGGTTGTTGAATTTCATTGTTGTGTTAGTTTTAATTTTAATCTGTATTATGTTCAACAGTTATCCTTAAGTACTAATTAACTCTCATTTTGAAATATAAAGTATTGATATATTTGAACGATAGAACTTTGAAACTGATAAAGTACTATCAAATAGGGGACCTAATGACTCAATAATACAAGCCTTGAGCTTAGCTTAGTCTCGCACAATACGAAAAATTATAAGATCAACATGCAAGGCCATCATTTACTATTATATAGAATAACGTTATCCTATTTTGTAAGTAAACCCAGATCCGAAATCTGTGGGTGACATAAGCGGTTTTCTCGTGTGGGAATCGAACCCACGATGACCATGAACCATTGATGTGCTTGTGGGTAGTCAATTACGTAGCTAAGTAAAAGTCTGTTCAATCTTATTTTTTATTGTATTTCCTGTTCCATATTTGTTCGGATTTAACGTGTGTGTGTGTGTGTGTGTGTGTGTGTGTGTGGTGTGTGTGTGTGTGTGTGTGTGTGTGTGTGTGTGTGTGTGTGTGTGTGTGTGTGTGTGTGTGTGTGTGTGTGTGCGCGCGTGCGTGCGTGCGTGTGTGTGTTTGTGTCAAGGCGCAAGTGTGCGCAGTAAAAGTAACTCGTTAGTAATTAATTCTATTTCAATTATTATATAATAAGAATATTCTCAAAGCAGTAACTCTTGTTGTAATTTCGAAGGGTTCACCGTCCACTACCTTGACGGCTGATGTTCGTAACATTTAATACCTTTTTTTTAACACAATATCACCTTGGCTTCAACTCTGCTAGTATACCGATTGTGTCAAACCTTACAATACAAGGCTACCCAGCCATTATGTTATCAAGTGCCGTTGTGGTTAATGACTCGACACGAAGTGGAAAAAACACCGTGTATGTCTGTGTAATATTTTAAAAATCATGAGGTTCATTTTGTGATTCCGTTATGATGTCATGTTATTGGATTTGTTTCGAATTAAAGCAAAAATGAAAATACTCGGAGATCGCATTTAGACTGAACCGGATCGATTTCACGGACTTTACCGTATATTAGAAAATACATGATCAAGAAATAATTTTATTAATTCCCGTTTGTCTTACGTCCATTTGTCACATGTCTTACCATTTATAGAATAACTTTTTAAAGTTAATCTTATTTAAAAATAAAACCGTTCTTTTTATATATACGGAAGGATTTTATTATCATGTTCGTCCTTTGAATAATGTATATTACCTTATAACTGGTATGTATGTAAAACTTGTGACACTTTTTCAAGGTTCCGATTATATGTAACATCTGTCCACCATCATAACGAGGGACTGACCTTTTACCTACGATTACGACGGCGTAGCTGTTTTCAAAATCACATTTAACAGCTTAGTTTTACGAGATAAATAGTATATAATGTGGTATTCAAATTTAAGTTATGTCTATTCCAAACTTCATTGAAAAGCATTGCGACGTGCGGAGCGAATCCCCTTTGCTATCATATTTGTCAACGCACTTTCGATGCGAGAGATATCTCGAAATATATGGCTTGTATGTTTTCGCCGGTGCAATGTGTTATGCACACAGGACAAGAATTTGCGTACTGCATAGACGGTTGTACCTAACCAGGGCATACCCACTACACCGTGACACTTAAAACTATAGTAGGGCCGCGTGACAGCTTCTGTTGTTCCACGAATGAGTAGGCTCGTCTGGGAAATCGCCACGGCCTCATTGAAGACCAAGTGGTAGTATAACAGGTTCGCGTTTCGTCCGCTGAATAAGGTAACTGGTGCCTAACTTTAAAGGTTGTAAACGCACTCGATAATTGGTTAACACCAGGGGAATCGCCTGCTCGCTTGGCAATTTATCATATTAAAAGACACACCCAAACCGGCCAAGCGCGAGTCGGACTCGCGCACGAAGAGTTCCGTACCATTAATACATATAAAAACGGTAAAAAAATCATGTCTGTTTCATGGGAGCCCTACATAAATATTTCTTCATTCTGTTTCTTTAGTTATAGCGTTATTTGTTGTTATAGCGGCAACAGATCTGTGAGAACTTCAACTGTCTAATTATCACGGTTCATGAGAGCCTGGTAACAGACAGACAGGGTCCCGTTTTGCCCTTTGGGTGCGGAACCCTAAAAAGCGACGAAAAATTGCTCAGGCGACACCAAACTGAGAGTTCCCGTGTGACCTGTGTTCAGGCAGTATAGCGTACGTGCCGCAGCAGGCTTGGATCCAGAACGCGACGCTGCAGGGCAACATACTGTTCGGGAAGCCCCTGGACGCGGCCAAGTACGCGAACGTGATCGGCGTGTGCGCCCTCAAGCCGGACTTCGACGTGCTGCCGGGCGGGGACCAGACAGAGATCGGCGAGAAAGGTCTGTACTCCCGCTTAATCCCGAATCTGTTAGTGCTGTCTAGCTTTTGGATCGTGTAGAACGGTGAGGCCGTCCGTTTTCCTGCTCGATCCAGGATTATAAGGTACTGTCTAGCTTTTGAATCGTTAGAACGGTGCGAAAACTATCGTGGGCTAATAGTTTCAATTGCATAATTATTAGATCATTTGTTTGTGATAAAATCTATCCACCAGCATGCTTCAAAAAGAACTAAGTCGTCTCATTTTATTTGTTTTAGAATAAAATGTTACCTAACCGGAATAACTAGATGCGCTTGCTTATTATAACTCGAGGCTCTAAAGACAAAGTAGACGATTTTGCTATTTATTTCTTACTAATCGTTGATTTCAAGTAATAACATCTAATTTTATATTTATTCAGGTTTACTTAGTTTTTGATATTCGTGATCGACGATCGAATTACGCTTACAAATAAATCTGTAAATAGCAAGTATTAAAATCACGCATTGATTTCTTGATTTTATGCGAATATTATACGTACTAAATGAAACTAGTTTACGGGATTTATCGCGTTTTAATTTTAATTTTTAATTCGAACCCTTTCCAGCGTTCATGGTGAACTAGTATAAGTATCAAAATTATTTTTGTTTTTGTTGTAACAAGTGGAGGTTATTTATCAAGATGCATTACACAGACTCGGTGCATAGATGCAGACCAAACTACCTCAAGGAAAGGTGTTTTATAGGACGCCAATTCGGAGATCAATTTATGGAACTTTACATATTTTTTCTTTCTTCTTCTGCCTAAAAAAGCCATTTTTTTCTGTCTCTTTCTATGTAGACTAGGTTAGAGGGTTTTTAAGTTTCACCGTTACGAATAGCAATAATAACAACATGACCTTGCCCCACCCCCCACTAAGCAACAGTGGGTTTTGAGTGAAAAACTCATCGACGCACATCACTGAGATTCGAACGTTAGATCATCGGTAGCCACATTTTTTTGCCAAGTTCGATAATCCCCACTTTGAATACGGCCATATTCTAAAACATAAATGGAATACATTAATTAAATAATTCGATTTTCAAGCTTTGCTATCAATTTACGATCTCTCCTAAAGGTGATTCAAAAAATCGCACTCGCAATTTCATTCAGTAGTTCACAGTAGAACACATACCCTCCCTATTGTAAAGTTGTCAAAAAAGTCATTCACTTTGGAATTTTTGCGAATGTAGGCCCCCATATCCGGCCTTAACATGTTTCTCCATCGGTGGAAACCTCAACGCCTCGCGTCACGCACTCTGTTTTTTAATTGCCAACGGTTTTGTCCGTATTTCAAACACGTGAATTCGTTTCGTCGCATAAGAGACATTGGTGGACATTAGGGAAATTTGGTGATATGTAGTATGCCAGAAAACGAAAACTTTGATAGAATCTATAGACAACAACGTTCCATAACACTTGGGATTTAGAGTTCATGCATAAAGGTGTCTGTAAATGATGTTCAATTCTCGAAATGTACTATAAAACATTCCACTTACACATAACAGGCTCACGCTCGGGTTCTAAAACATTGATCATCGTAGAAGTCAACTAAATCAGCTGTCAAATTAATTATCAAATGTTATTTGAGTTGCCAAAAGGATTGTTTTGAATTGATCATTCTGATTAATAAGAAGTTCATTCTGATCAATTCAGAGAGTTTAGTGCTGAAAATTGGCCTTTCAACAGTCGGCCACTGCTAGGAGGCCAATTTTCAGCAGTGGACTAAAATGGATTGAAATGATTATGAAAATCATCATTTCAGTATATGATTTTTTTTCTTTGTATCATGAATAATCTCCAAAACAATTGTTTTAGCAATTGTTTCCAATTTATATATTTATTTTTATTAATGTGGCTTACATTACGCTTTAGTAATAAACTTATCATTTATTTCAATAAAAATAATTCGTTTTTTGACATTTTGACAAGTCTGAGGAAATACCGAAAAAAACTCTTTAGATGATTGAGTAGTCATATATAATCACATGTTGTTATTGTGTGTTAAAATAATAAATTGATTTATATTACCCCATAAATTGTGATATTGCAAATTAACATTCATTTAAATTACTTAATTTACCTAACATACTTGAATGACTAGTTTGTGTCCGGCGCGAATATATATCTATATTTGTTTGTGAGATGAGAGAATATTCTTAAAATACATAGTAACATGACTCATAGTAGCATTTACTGCCAACTACCAAAAATCGAAGAATTAAACTAATGTGTTAAATTTATTTTATTACATGCTGTTCTATTAAATGTATTTTCTTCGATATTATACCTAATTGTTCTGCTCTTATATAATATTTATCAAACACAGTCCTCCATTCAAAAAATATGCACGAGGGTATTTGAGGTATATATAATTAACAACATTATTTAGCCTTTGACTACAATGGAGTTAACACAAAAAGAGTCCATTTCATAGCGTTCCATTTCTTCGCAAACGTGACAGTTGTAAGCTTTTTTGCCAAAACTAACCAATGAAATGTAACAGTGATTTTCCAACGTAAGAAATCCGAGTTAACGAATAGTCATCGGAGGTACCTCAAGATGACGACTAACTTCTAAGCCACTAGATCATTTTGCCTTTTCTCATATATATATATATATTTATTTTTATATCGCACAGGTATCAATTTATCGGGTGGTCAGAAGCAGAGGGTGTCTTTGGCTAGGGCGGTCTATTACGACGCCGATAATTACTTCCTCGACGATCCCCTCAGCGCCGTGGATTCGCACGTTGGCAAGCATATCTTCGATAAGGTAACGTGTTCAAATTTAAATAAAAATACACACTTGAAGCTAGAATATTTCTTTTGTGTGTAGGAAGATGGCACGCGAGCTGGCAGCTGATGTATAGTGATTACCGCAGCTCATGTATATTTGCAACACCCGTAGGGTTACAAATGTGTTGCCACCTATTAATGTGGGTCCCGGTTACCTCACTCACCATGAAACGCAGAAGTATTACAATTCCACTTCACGCCGGTCTTCTGCGAGGTCGTAATACTCCCCCGGAAGGACCTGCCCATCCGTGCAACATCAAAGACTTCTGCGTGGCCCTACCGCACTCCGAAATATTCAAGATGCAGGCCTTTTTTTATTTAAAACAACTTTTCATGTTCGACCTTAACTATAGGCTGTTGCGTCAGATGAACCTTTAATAGTCTCGGGACTGAAAGCAAAAACATCAGTTAATACAAGATATACGCTGTCGTTTCAATTGAAATGGTAGACTGTGACAGTTGGGTTTGAGGGCAAATATCGCGCGAAATGATTCTGAAATGCGGAAAATTCGTTTCTGCATACTGCTGAGATTCTAGCCTCCCAATCAGATACATCTGTGTAATAATATCAAATACACAAGGTTACGGTCAGCGCCCATCAGAACTTTGTCTCTACTTATCTACGACGCCGCATATATGTATATAAATGCGCTTTAATAATACCTTAACATGAGAAAAATTGCATACGATGCATAAGAAGATGACCTTACAAGCGATGAACACAGATAGCCATAAGTCAGGAAAGAATCCTCATTAAGACTATATCTTCACATGAAGCTCGTTCGAATATACTCATCTTTTGTTCATGATATGTACATACATCATAGGTATATCTTGATATGATGTCAAGAAATGAAAGCAAAAACATCTAACGATTGGGATGACCTTCGGAGCTGTTGACCGTACCACGACTCGTAAATGACATTTTGGCGCCGACCGTTCTTTATACGAAAATAGGATTCGTCCTATAGTCTTTCGTTTTTAAATAGTCCCCCGCGCTTAATATTTTTCGTCGTGTTTCCTATGTACGTATGTAATTCTAAAAATCCAAAGGGAAAGCGCGGTTGTTAACAGTATTCGTTCCTTCCATGAATGTATTACCTTTATACGGGCCACGCGTAGTAACATATTATAGTTGGCTATGCGGCGACACTTGTCAAACTAGTTTTTATTGATAAACATGCGAACTAGCCCGTACGCCGCGCCGTATGCAAACTGGTCGATGATTGCCTTTGCTCTTATTTTGCATTGCGTGCGGATTTTTACACCTTTTTCGAATTCTACCGGTGCACTCGCTTTTATAGTGGTAACTTAGATAGGGAATGAGGGCGAGGTAGTAAATAAGTTTGCCCTTGTAGTAATAAGTGCAGTGCTGTATTTGAACTGCAAACAAACGTTCATTTAAATATGACCCTTATTTTGTATAGTTTAGATTAGCTTGTATAAGAACTGACCTACTTTCAATGTAAGTAATGGAACGCAGTTCAAGCTACGTCGTTATTTCAATTGAAGCTAATAGCAAAATGTAAATTATTCAACAAAGTTTGAGTTCCAGTTATTAATTTTAAGTTATTAACTTAGAATTAATAACCAAACCTAGAATAGGATCAATAATCCTAGATCAGTTCAGAAAGTAGAACGTACATAAAATATATTACCTTGCAACCACGCTGTAAACAGTCGCAATATAAGAAACACAGCCAACACATACAGAAACATGCTGGTCCGTGAGGTCTAGGGACTTCCCCGAACTGAACTCTCCATTCGTGTACAGTGAAGGCTGTTGCGTGACCACACCATAGCCAATATATGTTATATAAAAATAAAGATTGAAAAGGGCGGGCTGTATCTTCTGGCATTCTCTCCCGCCTTCAGGTGATCGGGCCGAACGGTCTGTTGAAGAACAAGACTCGCGTATGGGTGACGCACAACGTGACCTATCTGGCCCAAACGGACCTGGTGCTGGTGCTGCGCGACGGCCAGGTCTCGGAGGCGGGCACTTACCAGCAGCTGCTGGAGAAGAAGGGCGCCTTCGCCGAGTTCCTGCTTCACCATCTCAGCGATGCGGAGAGGACCTCGCCGGAAGGTACATTTTCTGTGGCCAATTGAGTACCGACGCTATTTACCCTGACCGATTTTTCATTTGAGAAGGACAAACGAGCGTTCGCAATATGAGTGATCGCCACCAACCAAGGACTTGAAGCACTTGTGTGGTTGTATAATTCCAGAAAACGTTCAAAATGCATCAATAGCTAAATTTAAAAAAATTGTAAAAGAACGTTTGTGTGTTAAAGGCTACTATAATATTAATGATCCGCTGAGCAGTACGATTGATTGAGCAGAACTGATCGCTCCAGGCTCTGTCAATCGGAGTTCTAATATTGTATTTTTAATGAATTTATGTCAAACTGCTTATTTAAAAAAAAAAAGCCCGCTGAGTTTCTTTCGCCGGTTCTTCTCAGTACAGTGACTTTCTTTTCCGAACCGGTGGTAGTGTTTTGACTATCAATAAGTGAGTCTAATGCTCCTATGTTGAATAAAGACATTTGATTTTGATTTTAATTTTGTATATGCGTTAGTAGAACGGCGTGAAATGGAAGCATTATACATTCGCATTGCGTCTGGTGAGTGAGATAACCGGCGCCCACTTTATCAAAGGTGTTGTGCGGCCTGCTCGCTTGGTATCCGTTCACATGAAAAAAGAAACAGCCTATAACCTCACCATACAAAAAGCAAACATTGAAATACTTACCAACATCGGTTTGATGTGTGGCTATGTTAATTCCTCAAATGTGCTTGCCAATTTATTCTACAGGAGACCAGCAACATTATTGTTCTAAACCACTCTTTCCTTTGTAAATAAATAAATATGTAATATAAATAAATAAACACCCAGACATTGGAAAAACAGTGATGTTTATCGTGCAATATTTTTCCAGTAATGTGGATCGAATCCTTTGGCGCAAGAGGTAGGTTCACTACCCATTAGGCCATTCGGGTCGTCAGTCAAACAATTAATAGTCTGTTACGCATCTGAAACCCCCCGTCTGTTGATTTAGCATGCCAAAAATGTTCTATATGATTTATAATTAAATTTGATTTCAGAACTTGATGAGATTAAGCAAGACCTGGAGAGCAAGCTGGGCTCCGAGTTCCAGAACAAGTTGCAGAGGGCGCGCTCACTCTCTGAGAGCACCTCTGAGTCTGAACAGCCAGCAGCCGGTAGGAGTTCATACTTCACCACTATCAACCTCCTTGCATTCTTGCCTTTTCGTTTAATGGAAAGGAGAAGCGTTTTAAAGTAATCAGAAACAGACATTTAAATGATATTCAGTTTTTTTGTGTGTTTGTGTGTGTTGCCCGTTAACCTGATGTTAAGTGATTCACGGTCCTACGGACATGCACAACATCTCAGTGGCGCGTTGTCAACTGATATCAAGTGGGACCAGGATATCACACTCAGCAGACAAGACGCAAAAGTGTAATACTTCTACTTCACGCCGATCTTCTGTGATGCCTTGTTACATCCCCATATGAGCCTGCCTAGCATGTATGATGCTAAACTGAAACTGTTGTGTGGCTCTACCATTGTCCCTCAATTAGGTGACAATTATTATTAATTATTTCAATAAAAATTAACCTCCAAATAAAACGCGTTATTAATCATAATTTTCTCTAATCACATATATTATAATTTGTAAAATTTGTTATTTCATTATTTAAAAATACATTGAGTGGAGAATTGTTATGTTATGCTATTTCATTTTATTAGAGTTATTGTCATTTTTATTATATAACTAGCTGACTCGGCAATCGTAGTTTTGCCATATAAAATATTTCTAGAGGAATCGGAACGCGTTCAAAAATCGTTATTCAGGTTAACAGGTACAGTTTGTATGGGAAAATAAAATTGTTACTATTTTGATTTTCCATGCAATTTTTCTATTATTTCTCATCGTTTAAACCTTCCCTAGACTACCACAAATATATCAAAACTAAAATTAGCCAAATCGGTCTAGCCGTTCACTAGTTTTAGCGAGACTAACGAACAGCAATCCATTTTTATAAAAAAGATTAAAAGGAGGAAATATTTTAATTTTAATTTTTGAACTGATGGTATATTGGGAAATAATAATAGATGGTGAAATACAAAAATGCACTTGTAATATAGCTTTATAATGGAGATGATAGTTATATATTAATCATGCGTATTTTTATCCATATTCTTTCTGCAGGTTTTTTAAAAGCTTTATTTTAACTCATTATAGCACCCAGTCTATGGGGAGGCCTATGTTCAGCAGTGGACTCAAACAGGCTGAAATGATGATGATAGCACCATGACTTATAGTGGCGAGAAAAAGTTATTTACAAGCATATAATTTGTCTTCTGCAGGTGATAGAACCGGCAGCGTAAAGAGACGCACCCCTGACGACGCCACGCCCAACGAACTCAAGGAAAAGAACAAGTTGATTGAGACAGAAAAGACTGAGACGGGCAGTGTGAGTTAAATTCAACAAAGATGTGATGGTGTGAGATATTTAGTTTGGTCTTTATGTATTTCCTTTTTCACATTGCATGTATACGTTGAATAAACACAGGATTATTGCAACGCGGGTGACGCTGTCTTCTTACCGATATAAAATGACGGCACTAATTTTATTGCATATTTATTTATTAAAAAAATTAACTTAATACAATAGTGTGGCAATCTACAACACAAAGAAAACTTATTAACTATATCCAGTAAAAATGAACAATGCAACCATTTTAAATTCACTTGGAGAATGCAAGAATAAATTAATAAAATAATAATTAATAAGTTGTATGATTCATCATCATCATCCAGCGCTTATCCCACATAGGTGGGCTTGGCACAACATGTGAATCATGTTGTAATCTGTTTTGGCTATATTTTTTTACGAGAGCCCGCCTGCCTGACGTCAACTCTCCTTGGGAAATAAAGACCCAGATCGGGAACAATTATCTGTGAGTCACACAAATACTAGTCTCGTGTGGGAGGGAACTGAACCTAATACCCACGACGCCTACGCCAATAGCTTAGCAAAGTCGTCACCGATTCATCGTATTTCATATGATTAGCTTAGCTCAAATGGAGCACGAATACTCGCCTAAAACTTTTTTATTCTACTATATGTCATTTATAACACAGTGCAATAATTATCCTATGTATTTCTCAGGTGAAATGGGCTGTTTACAAGCACTACCTGACGAGCGTAGGCGTGCTGGCGTCGGTGGTCACGATCCTCATGAACTTGGTGCTGCAGCTGTTCCAGGTCGGCTCCAACTACTGGCTCTCCGAGTGGTCCAATGACAAAACTGTTATGGTATGTACTTTTATTTAAAAGAAAAGTTGTCCAACAGGAAAGAATTGAAAGAAAACCACCAAAGTTATGTGTGTTGTAAACTTGAAGAAGAACATCAGCCTGTCACAATACAAACTGCAAAAGTAATGCTCCCTACCCCCAGCCATGATACTTCTCCCATTAAGCATATTCATACAACAGAAAGTGCTGTGTGGACCACCATAGTTATTTTCTTTATTGTGGGTAGGTGGCTAGCAATCTGACAGGTCACTTGATGTTAAGTGATAACTGCCGCCCATGGACATTCGCAACACCCGTAGTGTTGCAGATGCGCTGCCATCTTTTGATAAAGTGGACCCTGGCTACCAGACGAAACGCAGAAGTATAACACCTCCACTTCACGTCGATCTTCTGTTAGGTTGTGGTACTTTCTCGGACGAACCTGCCCATTTTTGCAACAGCGAACTGTTGCGTGGCCCTACCACTATTAAAGTTTGCAAAACCCTAATTATTTAATGAAACATATTTACTATAGCTCAGGATTTTTAAAATTACGATCGTTTATATATTTAATTAAATCCATTGTATTCAGATAGGCAGACTGCCTGAAAACAACGTATTTTAATTCCTTCTATGGCTCCACTGATACGTCAGTAATTAAACAACGTAGATTTGCTCAATCTAAATTGAATGTCACACATCAATCAACTTTTTCATACATTCATTCCATTAGGGTTTTAGCGTCATTCATTCGGTACTGATGTTCAAAACTCTCTGTTCAAGAATATCTTACCATGCTTTTAAAATATAAGTGTATTGTTAGTGAAATTGTTAATTTTAATTGCTGACTTAATATTTGCTAAGCGGTGAAGAAAATCATTGTGAGGAACCTTGCTTATTTTCGCGATAATAACAAAAAATATTTCCAAGATACGTGAAGACCGCCAATCCGCATTTGGATCACGTGGTGGATTATACCCATTAGGGTTAGCCTCAGTACAGAGAAGGCCTTTGCCCAGCAGTGGGACCTATATAAGCTGTTAATTACTTGTATTAACTGATGTTTTTGCTTTCAGTCCCGAGACTATTAAAGCTTCATCTGAAGCAGTGTTAATTACTGTTGTTGCTTTACTTAACTTTTTTTACTGTCCTTGCTCACTTTACTATTAACTGCTTATCAATTTTATTTAATATACTTGTCGAAAAGTAAAGTCAAATCGCTATTATCGCGACCATAAATAAACACGCATAAAGCGTTATTAGCCAAACCATAAATAAACGTGGTGTGTTAAATATTTACTTTCATTAAACATCAATTTTTACAGAGTTATTTAATTTTCCAAAACAATTTTAGAACAACCGTACATATAAAACTGTAACATAATGTAAACATTAGGAACAAACACAAGCTTGTAACGCCAGTTACTATATAGAGTAAGTAACTCGTTCATGGGGCGGTGTATACGCTTTTACAACAAAATCGCAGTAAATGCGCAAAACCTGCCTATTAACAGGTTTAAGAAATTTATTAAAGAAAAACTTTATAAAAAGGGTTATTATAATACAAATGAATACATTAATGACAATAACCCCTGGGAATGAGTTGATCACTCAAGCTATTTCTACAAGAAAAAAAATCAGTTGTACAATATATTAATTTTTTTAAGAAAAAAAAATGAATTACAAAAAAGAGGATACCTACGGAGTTTTTTTCGTCTGTTTCTTCTCCGCTAGAGGAATCTCATTACGAAACGGTGGTAGATTTAAAAAAAAATATGACTATCGATAGATGAAATGTAAGTATATAATATATAATAATATGAGTTTGCTGAATTAATTTAAAAGATATAAAACATACTGATAGAAGAAGATACTTGTATCTTGTATTAACTGATGTTTTTGCTTTCAGTCCCGAGACTATTAAAGCTTCATCGGACGCAGAACCGGTGGGCTAGCCAAAACCCACGGGTTTGGACCCTCCGCTATGGGTACGGTCGCGCATGTGATCATGCGTGCGTTTAACTACTATGGTGTGTCATCTAAGGGCCGTCGAGGTCGCGGTTCGGACCGAGACCCCGACGGCCGTCGACTGTGCATTTAGCTAATCGGTGGCTGGGAGCGGTGAGAACCGCCCCGGAACGCGGGTGTACCTTGTGTACGCGTTGTGTGGGTCTCGCCGTGCTCGGAGGCGAGGGCGAACTGGTGTGATTGTTGTTACACTAACTGTGGGTGTAGTGTTATCCGGCGGGACCCCCGGCGGTGGGTCCATCGTGTCTAAGTGTTATCTGGCGGGACCCTTGATGATGGGTCCGACGTACTTAGGCCTCTTCGTCGACCGGGTCGATGAGGACGTTTCGCGGGCGACGCTTGTTTACGTTCGCGTTAGTGTCCGGTCGGTAGTTTGCTGCGCTTACCACCAGAGGGTTGGGATGATGCTGGGCTCTATCGAAGAACCGTTTTGTCAAATCTTTAAAATGTGCGCGGATCGTCGGGAGTCTGCAATCGCTGTGCAGGTCGACGTTGCGCTGATACCATTGCGCACCGGTTGCGCGGCGAATAAACTTATTTTGTACTATTTGCAACTTGTACAAGCGAGTAGGGTGCGTGTGGGCGAAGATCATACATGCGTAGGACATGATAGGTCGTACGCAAGTCTTATATAATAATAATTTGTGCCTTAAGGGCATTTTACTTTTAGCATTAGTTAAAAATGTGTAGCCGGCCGGAGACGAACGCGGCTCTATTACGAACGTTATTAATGTGCGTAGTAAATGACATACGCGAGTCGAAAGTGACTCCTAAGTATTTGACCTTTTTCTCCCAGGGGAGCGGTTGGCCATATTCCCTATATTTGCCCCAACTTTCTGCATTGGCGAGGGCCATTATAAAGATGTGACGGGTAGGTACTTCGTGTGAAGTGAATCGCTACACTCTTTTCGGGATTTATTTCTATTCTCCATTTGCGGAACCAATCGGCGAGGCGGTCGGCGGCGCTTTGGAGTCGAGTGGTCAGTATTCTAAGATTGCGGTCTGAATAAAAGAAGATACTTGTAAAGCGACGTTATGGTAACAATTGAAAAGGTCTCTGAATGTATGAATCAGTCAGTTGTAGTTGTTACAAATTTTGTTTCTTTTTTATTTAATTAGTTTGTTAGGAATTTTTTTTTAAATTATGGATTATTCTTTAACCATTTGTATTTTGTAACACTTTTTTTTCGACGTCTCGTACCCTTAAGATTCGAGTGCCGTATATTGGCAATCCATAGTGGATCGTATAGCGATATCTATCGTGAACAATACAATTTAGTTGAATGGGATCCTTAGAAAATCTATATTTCATTTATCATAGATGGCGTTAGGTCACCTTGTTGTTTTGTCTTTGTTTATTTCCTTAGATTATTTCGGTACTAGTGATTTTATTGTCTTATATATAATATATAAGACAATAAAATATAAATATAAAATACTATCATTTTAATTATGTTGAACTGATATCAATCAAATTGTTTTTACATAATTTTCGATTAGAAACATTGTCTTGTTTAGCATAGTCTGTTGTTTGTATCATCTGTCGTTCCTGCGAGAACGGCAGTCAGCTTCGTCTTGATCATTTCTTATCGGAGCTCTGAGGCGGCCGCCGCCTGGCGGCAGCGCCTCTGCATAGTTCGAGAATGTAGGAAAGGAGTATGTGAAATCCTAGGCCACATCCTTTTACATCCTACTTGTATATGGCTTCTTGGCCTTTATATTTTATATAAAAAAACCCACATCGTTGGTAAGTTTCCTTTGTGCATATATTTTTGGGATCTGACTGTTTTCGGTCCATTGTTCGTTTGTTAACAATTGGTATTTTGTTACAGGGTTTTTTTTTTTATTGGTTTCTCTTTCTTCTTTAATGCTACCTCGTATCACTCTGATCTGCTTCTCTCTGATGGCTTGATATCGAACCGCGTGTTCGCCTTATATGCAACTGCATAGTTATATATACTAAGAATCTGAGGTCCTGCTGTCCACGTGCAACTTGAAGCCGCGGACTAGCTGAATGCCCCTCGGTGGCATGTGAGCATTGCTGAGCTGAGGTCTTCACCCTTATTTGGAAAGTGGGAAGGCAAGCCTGGTTATGTTTCCTTCTGGTATGTGTTTGCTCTAATCTAACTAGCCATTAAACTCATGATTATATTTATATACTGCTTTGTGACAGTGATTAATTTAATGTATACTTAACTCTTAATGTAACTATTATTTTGCCTGATTGGTGAGATCTCACTCCTTTGAATATCTTTAAATTGATATAGTTTAGTTTTATATTCAAACCTTGTATCAATAAACTCTAAAACTGTTAAGGAATATATCTTTTATTTCCACTAAGTAAATCCCTTAGAATAAGCATTATTCTGTCTTGCACGGGACGGGCTGGCGCCTATTTAAAATAAATTCTGTCCGTCCCCGTGACTGGGTCACCGAGCCTCACCCTGTGGTCTCGATTGGTCCGATTGAGTCAGCCGGAGCGAACCCCTACACCGATCTCCCACTGGTGGAGTCAGGTGTGGATGTTTCAATTTTATTAAGAAAAGTGGGAAGTAGTGTTAGGAGTGGGTTCATTTGGGACACTTGTTATTGCATCATATATCCGGAAATCCAACACGAATAATTGCTGTAAGTGTAAACTGGTGAAGATAACATAATTTGTTTTTGAGGAATTTTGAGTTTAGGATTCAAAAAATCCTGAAAGTTTGATTAAAAGTTTAAATTTATTTTATATTACAGATGGAGAATGGTACCTTAGACAAAAGCAAGCGCGATCTATACCTTGGTGTATATGGTGGTCTCGGCATTGGGCAAGGTGAGTTATAAAATTTTTTCCACTAACAAAATATGGGATTTTTACTTCTAAAAGCATGATGACACAAGGGGTGCTAACAAACCAAGATATGTGAATTTTAACAATGGGATCAAATCCAAAAATTACTTGTATTCATATGTGTAATATTTGTGTGAATAGAAGAAAATGTTAAAGTAAATATTTAAAAGACTGAAATTTTTCTGATATATTTGGTATATAATTTGGGATTTCAATAATTCATCATAAATATTCTGGTCAGAGTGGAAATACTAATCACCATATTTATGTAATAAACACAATATAACTCATTACATTTATAAATGAGCCGTGATAGCTCGGTGTCCGGGCCGCTCGCCTTTAATTCAATATACTCGAGCAACCTGAGTTCGATCCCCGGTGCCGGCACCAATGAAGTTTTTAACTTTAAGTGCTGAATTATCACGTGCTCCGCGGTGAAGGAAAACATCGTGAGGAAACCTTCATATTTTCGAAATAATAAGAAAAAAAATGTATTTCGAAGATATGTGAAGTCCGCCAATCCGGACGGGAGGAGGCCTTTGCCTAGCAGTGGGACATGCATATATATACTTTTACATTTATAAATGTTTCCTTTCCATAAATATCCAACATCTTTAATATAATGCAAATATTGCGGTAAATGCTCAATTAGTCAGAGTTTTTAAAATCTGAAATATTTCATCTATATGTCATAATGTATAAATCATTGACATAGATGGACGTTCATTTTTTTTATTGCGTACTAAGTTCAATATTTATATTGAAAACATAAATTGACAAAGGTGAAAGAACCGTTTGGCCATCTGAGTGTCCTAGAAAAGTTAAGTTAACCTTTATTAATTTAATTTAATTTAACATTTATTGTAAAGAACATTAATAACATTTTTAATCACAACAAAAAAGACAGATTTCAAATAAATGTTTAATTCTATTTTGATGAGTTTCTCTCAATTAATATGTATCTCTAGAGCACAACCCCAATATCAAAGAAATTAACATCGGACCGCATGGAAGCTAAACCAAATCTAATGCAAAAAGAATTTTAAAAATTTATTCAAAAATGACTGTTTTGAGGGAACAAGCATAAAAAACTGTATTGAGAACAACTACTTTTGAACCACCTCTTTTGAATTTGGTGACATGTAGGTGACAATTTAAACACTTACATTATATTTATTTTCGGACATTACATAGAAAAAATTATGAATGTATAATGGTTTTATTTTGAAATTTTGTAAAGTTTCTTTTAATTTTAAACAAATTTAATAATGAATACATTACTTGTTTTTATAATGAATATTTGTGTAATTTATCTGTATTTTCGAGTTAAACTATCTTTGTTTTTTTTTTTTGTAACCACATAAACAATCATTGCATGTTGTTTTAAATACAAATGAGATTTCATTTATAATTGCATGATTATTAATATTAGCCGTCATATTTTATGGATAATTGGAATTTAATTTGCATGCTGTGTTTGTTTATTCTTTGTACTTGCATATTATATATTATTTTTATAAAATTAACAATGTACCTATAATGCGTGGATAGAGAAAATACCTGAGGCTTCGAATCTTTTTCGTTTTGTAATTATTATACTTAGAATATAATGTTAAATTTTTAGGGACTATATAATTTTTTAATAGAAGGATACAAGTAGGAAGAAAGAAAAGACTGCAAATATTCGAGAATAAATTGCTACATTTATTTGGTGGCAACTGCCATAAAGCATCAAATAAGTGATTTATATATAGTTATTATACTATAGACGAATCAGTCTTTCAGATAATATAGCTTACTTCTACTAACATTTGATGTGTTAATAACTTCTCTCCATCCTATATGGTTATTAATGACAAGTATCTGGGTCTATAGCTGTCATGCTTGCCATGACACGAGTGCTCCTCATATCAGTCGTAAATGAAAGTTGACCAATATAATGGTTGATAGTTAAAGAGAACGTGAGTTGTTGGAAGCCCAGGCGTATCGTCGAGGTCATGAATCACCAGAGCCCTCGACCTCAGCAATCTTTGTCACAGGATGGTCGCCTGTCTACCCATATAAAATTAGCGTCACCAAAAGGGGTGAACAGTTGAAACGATTGTACACTGCCACAAACTTATATATCAGATAACCTGCTTGTTCGTTTGACTCCATTTTCCAAAAAAATAAAATAGCGTGGGACGCCAACGGCGGCATCAGTCAGCGTCTGGACGCCGTCTAAGGCGCATGTGTCGCAGTCGTTTCGGTTTCGTTTGGATGTGAGCGAGAGTGTTTGGGATGCGAGGCGTCTGTGTAGGCGGCGTCAATCGGCGTCTGGACTCCGTCTGAACCACACGTGTCACAGTCGTTTCGGTGTCGTTTGGATGTAAGCGAGAGCGTTCGAGACTCGAGGCGACTGTGTCGCGGGCGTGGACGCCGATGGCGGTGTCAGTCGGCGTCCGGACGCCGTCTGAGGCGCACGTCCGTCACAGTCGTTGCGGTGTCGGTGTCGTCGCTGGCGCTGTACCTGGGCACGCTGGCGGCGTCTCGTGCGCTGCACGCCGGCCTGCTGGCGGGGGTGCTTCGCGCCCCGAGCATCGGCTTCTTCGACTGCACGCCCGTCGGCCGCGTGCTCAACCGCTTCAGCAAGGACGTGGACGTGCTCGACAACGTGCTGCCGATGACGCTCCGCGGCTGGACCTCGTGCTTCTTCTCGGTACGGCGCGTGGCGTCGCTTCGCTTGGGATCAGTTTATCAGCAGCCCTTCGCAGCGGCATAAATGACGTTAGGTGATGCCACACTCGCATACCGGTTACGCAGGCTACGTTATACTATCACTTATGTAGGCCGCTTTTTTAGGTCTACGACGGGGCCTGTTACGGTAGCTCAAGTGTTTGTGTTCATTAAACCGCGTGGACGTATAGTGCATGTCGTTTCGTAAATTGTCTAGCGAGCACCGCACAACATTCCATTGTCTCACTAGCGTAGTGTCACAAGTCGTTACGCTCGATTGCTTCTGTTACTTTCTTTAATCTTTCACATTGCATATATAAAATAATGTATTCATTATTCATGGGCTCGTCCGATTTCCCGCAAACTTTGACGTTAATGAAATATCACATTGTGCTTACTTAAATCTCACACTAAGTTGGGTATATATCACGGTTGTTTGTCACTAACGATACTCCGAATATGGTCCTTCGAGCCGGATAGAGTCGCAAGGATTTCAGTGGACATACCTACTACACACCGTGTCGCGTCGACCAATCACCAAAACCACCGTGAATGTTGTTGCAGCGCTAGCGTCGTTTTTCGCGGATTTAATGCCATATCTGGGGTGTTGGCGCGCGGCGAAGATTCTCCATGCACTCTTGCTGGAGAATGTGTTCAAGGCACCGTTGCAATTCTTCGAAGTGACGCCCCTTGGCCGCATACTCTCCAGGTTCTCGAAAGACGTTGACATTTTGGACACTTCGCTACCTACGCAGGCGTCCGACGTGATATATTGCGCGTTCGAGGTAATGGCGGTTTTTACTATTTATTCCTGTGTCCTGTTAAACAAAATCGGTTTTTAGTTTTTGCTACAACCAGTCCACTCCTCTACAAAATTAAATATTTCTTTACACATTTCCTTGCACGCGTATTATCAATTAGATTGTAAGTTCGTAGGAGGTACCCAGACATAAAAAATTCGGTATTGATTATAGGAATACTACAATAGAAAGGACGTATACAAATTTACGTATTTGCGTTCTATATGTATGTTATAATTGTAAACTGGTTCTCAGAAGGTATGCGGTGCATAATAATTATGTCTATAGACACTTTCGGGAATAATTTTCAGTTTGCTTTTGTACGTGCTAATAATTGTTACTTGTTTTTTTAAACTCAATTCGTAACAGGTACTGTAGATATCTGTAACTTGCCAATAATATCATGTCCGGTAAAGGTTTTCTATTTTTCAAAATTTAATGTTTTTGTACCGCAACTTTGTAATACAATGCTGATTAATAAACTGATCCCAGCGATATATTCATTTCTATTTTACAGTTTTATTTATTTTTGTCTTACAATGTATTCGTATTTTCATTATACAGGGTGATTTTTTTAGGCGAAGTACATAATTTGACATAATGTTAATTGAGCATTCCATAATTAAAAAAAAATATTAATATTTTATTTTGCTAAGAAATAATCAATGCAAACATTGTTGTTTATCCGGTTAAGGGTGGTCACCCCATTGATAAGCGATTTAGTAAGTGCGTTCAGCGAAAAGTTTTAGTGCTCGTGAATAGGTTATTGTATTGAGACGGTAAGGCAGGAATTTCTTTTAGGGTGTCCATTATGTTTAAAAATTAAAAATAATCTTTGAAAAAAAAAAAAAAGGTCACATACGTACCAGATTCAGATTTAGAATCAAATACTCCATATGCTCTGTTAATATGTCCGTCGTCTATAAAATCATTCTGTATAGAGAAGATGTAATGAGTGATTTGTATGAAATGTCTTAATGCTGTAGCCGTTTAGTGTAGAATCCGAATTACCATAAGTCCTGTGTGGACGAGTTTCCTTGTCAAAAGTATCCATGGATTGTTTATATAGAGTTCAGAGACTCTAAATGCGATAAATCGACAAGCTCCGCGAAACTTGGACGCGTACAAAGCTGTCGCCGTCATGCACGGCATGATAAAGCTGTCGCCGTGCGCAGGTGCTGGGCACGCTGTTCGTGATCAGCTACTCGACGCCGATCTTCATGAGCTTGATAGTGCCGTTCGGCATCATCTACTACGTGATCCAGCGCTTCTACGTGGCCACGTCACGTCAGCTCAAGCGACTCGAGTCCGTGTCACGCTCGCCCATTTACTCGCACTTTGGTGAGAGCATCACGGGGGCAACCACCATACGCGCCTATGGCGTCACCAGGAGGTAAGACTAAGAAAAGTCGTTAAATAGTTTTATTTATGATGTATAATAGCAAGCACGGTGTTCATCTGATATTACAGAAGGCCGGCGCGAAATGAAAGTACTGTAGGTACTTTCAAGTTTCGGCTAGTGAGTACGGTACCCGTAACGCTTGAATGCTCATGGGCGGCGGTAATCACTTAAAATCAAGTGAATTGCCTGCGTGCTTGGCAACTTTTCAATTAAAAACATAACCGCCGCTCCTGGAAGTTCACGTTGCAGCGAGATTTTATTCTGCGTATTAACGAAACTCGTTGCTGTCGAGCTGCTGCAAGATGGCGAAGGAATCGGGGAAGGTCTATCCTTCTCTGAGGCGTGCTCACGCGCAGTACTGAGGGACACCGGTGCGTTCCGTAGGCGATCCCGGAGTCCCTCCAAACGTACAGAAGGTGACCATTTAGGGGTTTTTAGTGGGTACAAACCTCACATAACCATAACCCTTGATGAGGGTATCTTTTGAAGATTTCCCCCCGACACAAACAAAAGTGCAAGTATTTTATAAGAATAACTACATATAAAGTCTAAGCCTTCAATATATGTGCAAAAACATCGTCAGTTTGTTATTCCACAAATCCGAACTATATTCTAATGATCCCTGTTTTGAGACAGGACAAGCCACCCGAGAACCAACAAGAACAAGCATTCACCTAGGTGCAAAAGCTGTCATTGGTGTAAAAATAGGTGGTAGGTGGGAACACAAGACGATCTTAGCACGAACCGAAGGTCTAACTACAATGCAACTGCCACGACTAGCCTTAATACGAATGAATGGTCTAAGTCTCTAACGGCCGGTTTTAATATTCAATCTATTATTATAATAGTATTATGGAGCTAATGTCAAATACCTATCACATGTAATCAATTCTATCTGTAGATAGAATATTAAATCGGCCGTAAGTCGAATCCATCTTCAATTGCAGATTCGTCGAGGAATCCGAGCGGGGAGTGGACCACAATCAGTCCTGCTACTACCCCAGCTGCATCGCTAACCGGTGGCTGGCCGTTCGGCTGGAGATGATCGGCAACCTGATCATCTTCTTCGCCGCTCTGTTCGCCGTTCTAGCGCGGGACACGATCAACGCCGGCATCGTGGGTCTATCGATCAGCTACGCCCTGCAGGTTTGTCCTCCTCTATCATACGTGACGCTGCATCATAATGAATGACGGATGGCGAAATCGATTAATCAGTTCTAATATTAAAATTTTAAAATAGATGTTTCCAAACGGGCTGAATGCACCATGCATGGGAGACTGACAGAGAAAACGATCTACAAAACCGAATTTAGCCGATTGCCTGCTTCCAAAGGTCGATGTGCAATATTTATATACGGTGGTAGGGCGGCCTCGCCTGTTGCACGAATGGGCAGGCTCGTCCGGCTAAGTACCACGACCTCGCAGAAGACCGGCGTAAAGCGGAAGTATAATACTTTCGCGTTTCGTCTGGTGAGTGAGGTGGCCGGAGCCCAATTTTCAAAAGGTTACCAACGCATCTGGAACCCTCGGGTGTAGCAGATGTCCATGGACGGCGGTATTCACTTAACATCAGGTGAACCGTCTGCTCGCTTGGCAACTTTTCACATAAAAATCCAAAAAAATAATATATTAACGGTTGTTTTCATTATACGCATACCCTTTGTATATTACAGTAGTACATACTTGTAGTATATAAAGGAACCATGAAATGGGTGTACTAAAATTAATATATTTTAGTTGTTGTTTGTTTTAATTTAGGTAAAATTAATATATTAAGTTGATGAATATTTGTTTTTTTTTTCTACCGTTACAAGCGACATTAAAATTCAAATTTTATATTTATAAGGGTTTAAATTTCATGATCATTATTATATTACTCTTATTTTATCAGACAATTTTTATTGTACATAGTGTGGCCGTATGATTAGCGATATACAGCGTGTCGTTACCACCACGACAATAAATGAACACACGTCTAACGCTACTTGCCAATAATCATAAAAAAATATTAACGTTAAAAAATCAATAACTAAAAAAAAAAATTTTAAAACAAACTAATTAAGTAAAGAAGAAACAAAATTTGTAACACCTATACAACTACAACTGACTGATTCATATATTCAGAGAATTTTTCATTCGTTGCCACAGCGTCGCATTACAAGCCTCTCCTTCTAACAGTATGTTTTGTCTCTTTTAAAATTCATTCAACCCATTCATATGCTTTGTATCCTTTACAAATGAACTTTGTTACAGTTATATACGTAAGGGCGTTATAAAATTCTTCGTTTTGGAAAATTTAATAACTCGGTAAATATTGATGTTTAAAGAATGTGATGAAATGTTTAATACATTATGAAATGTTTAATACATTTTAAAAAGTTATCCTCTATATGTGTGTTCATTTATTGTCGCGATTGTAAAGATACGCTGTATATTTCTGTAGATTTTTTTGTACTTTTCATAAATTATTCCTTTTTATTTCATCGAGGTTATTACTATATATCGTTAATGTTTCACTAAATTACATTTGCTTATTATTGCAATATATAAACTTTATACTTTCTTTTTGTACATAGGTAATAAAATTGTTGCAATTTTTTTAGATAACTCAAACGCTCAATTGGCTCGTTCGGATGACGTCAGAGGTGGAAACGAACATAGTGGCAGTGGAAAGGATTAAGGAGTACGCTGAAACGAAGCAGGTACGAAATTCCTTTTATTTCAGTAGCCTAATAAACAAAGTAGGTTGGCCAACCATACTTACTAAGGAGCCGTGATAGCTCAGTGTCCGGGCGGTCGCCTTTATTTCAATATACTCGAGCAACCTGAGTTCGATCCTCGGTGCCGGCACCAATGAAGTTTTTAACTCTCTGTAGTGGAGGCCTTTGCCCAGCAGTGGGACATGTATAGGCTGTTACTTTACTTTACTTTAACCATACTTACGATGACGTATGTCCATGGTTATAATGTGAGGTGTTTATGTGTATATGTCGGTGTGATTGGATATCGATATTTTTGGTATTAAGAAAACGCTGTCATCTAGAAAAACTATTGTAGTATTCCTTTCGAAGTTAAGAGACTGGGCTTCCTCCGTTGCCCTTCCGGTTACCCTCCCTGATAATATCAAAACGACTCCAAATAAGTATTTTTGAATAATATTTTCAGAATTCTTGTTAAATCATTAATTTTATTTGTAATTATCTGTATATGTATTTATTTATGCATTTGTATCAGTAGATTATATAGAAGTCCGCCCAGTGTAGCCGTTAGCTTAACGTGAGCACATCGAGAATATTTATCCCATGTTAGATTCAAATAACTGGCTCACTCTTGCATTGTATCATATGCCGTGCTTCGGAACTCGACTGTCGAGGGGCAGGGCAGAGTACGTACACACGTGACGAATACAATCGGCGCGCAGGAGGCGGCGTGGACGCAGCCGAACGGGCCGGGCGCCACGTGGCCGGAGACGGGCGCATTGCAGCTGGAGCGGCTGACGCTGGGCTACCGTGCGGGCGAGCCGGCGCTGCGCGACGTCACCTGCACGGTGGCGCCGCGCGACAAGCTCGCCATCGTGGGCCGCACCGGCGCCGGCAAGTCCACGCTCACGCTCGGCCTCTTCAGGTGAGCGCACTCCTCACGCTCGGCCTCTTCGGGCGAGCGCACTCCTTACGCTCGGCCTATTTAAATAGGTTCCCTACTCACGCTCGGCCTCCTTAAATAGGCGCCTTTAAAAAAATACGTAAGACGTTATACTATTCTTTAGCGTAAAGAAAAATAATTAAAAATTTTTTTAATTATTTTTTAATTTTTACCATAATCTGATTCGATTTCAGGATAGTGGAAGCGATGGGCGGCAAGATCCTGATCGACGGCATCGACATCTCTACGATCGGCCTTCACCAGCTGCGCTCCCGCATCACGATCATCCCCCAGGACCCTGTGCTGTTCTCGGGCACACTCCGCATGAACCTGGACCCCTTCGATGTCTACTCCGACGAAGACATCTGGCGCTCGCTGGAGCACGCGCATCTCAAGACCTTCGTTCAAGGTAACTCATGGCCTGAATCCATCAATCGAGGATATATTTAGTGCTCTGCCTGCAGAAAATCACGGAGGGTATAAAATAGTAAAACAAAAGTTGTATACAACTATTGAAATTTAAAATCTTATTGGGCTTATATCTGTACTTCAGATGAAATAGTAATATTTCTAGAAACAAAGGACGAGACCGCTACGGAAATCGAACCCACGTCTTCCTAACTGGTCACGAATCCGGAAGACGTGGTTCGACTTCCGCAGCGTTAAAAAACTTTTTGTCCTTTCTCCTAATAATTTAAAAAATAATAACTAGTAACCTTACCATAATATACCAATGTACTATTGAACACTTGTTTGGCGCGTTTTTTGAGAGATGAAAGTGAATTTTTACGCGATACTCAAAAGCGGCACCAACTTCATGGTGTTACCACGGCAACCATTTTTGACATTTACCTAAAATTCCAAATTATTTAATTAAACCGGTATCAATTGCATTTAATGTTTTTTTTTTTTTCACAAACGAAGAGTAATGGCCCACGGGATAAAAATTTTAATTGTTTTTCTCTTGTTACGCTAACGAAGTATTATTTCTTACGTGCGTGCATAACTACACACGTTTCTTTTGTATCAATATGTAAAATAGATAAAATAGACAAACTACAGTTTTTTCCTATGTCCATGGTTATAATGTGAGGTGTTTATGTGTATATGTCGGTGTGATTGGATATCGATATTTTTGGTATTAAGAAAACGCTGTCATCTAGAAGAACTATTGTAGTATTCCTTTCGAAGTTAAGAGACTGGGCTTCCTCCGTTGCCCTTCCGGTTACCGTTTCCTAATCTTCATCTTCGTCGCACTCTTCTTTTCTGAAAGTCGCGTCTAACTACAGTCGGTGCCTGTGTCTGTTGGTAGACCTAAGTGACTACTATTTCAATGGAATAATTGTGTAAAACGGAGTTTCATTCGCCCGTTTCTTCTACGTTTGAGTAACCCGATTACGAAACAGTGGAAGGTTAAAAAAAGGACTATCGATGGATGAGAACTGTGTCTTACGCCGATGAATAAATGAATTTGATGTGTTTGAACTTAACTCCATGCAGGTCTCCAAGCGGGGCTGCGCCACGAGATCTCGGAGGGCGGCGAGAACCTGTCCGTGGGGCAGCGGCAGCTGGTGTGCTTGGCGCGCGCCCTCCTGCGCAAGACCCCACTCCTCGTGCTGGACGAGGCGACCGCCGCCGTCGACCTGGAGACCGATGAGCTCATACAGGTCCCTGATCCCGCTGTTCGCCGACCACTAGTTTTATAATAATTGGAAATAATTCCTGTGAGGGCGAAACCTTCAACACGAGGCACATTGACCACCCAAAGCATAATAGCTTGCTTCCTATGCTTTCAACACGAGACTTCATATCATTTTCATCGTCCTCGATGTATATATACATATAAGAAATATCTTTTTTGAGGCTAAAATCGATTAATTTCACTTACCTTACACAATTTCATTTAAATAAATAAATAAAAACGTTGATGGTACGATTGTGTGTTTGTGCAATTACGATGTGCACAAACTAAATTTAAGGAAGGGTACATATTCAGGGATACATTGGTATTCGGCTAGGAAAACAAATGAAAATTCTATTTTTATTACTTAATTATTTGGCGTGTTGCCAAAATAGTAATATCAATTATAAAGTCTCCGACATTTGTGTGCTATCCTGACTTTAAAGCGTATATTTCTTTACAGAAAACCATTCGTTCGGAGTTCGCGTCGTGCACCGTTCTCACCATCGCCCACCGTCTGAACACCATAATGGACTCCACCAGAGTCATGGTGCTCGACAAAGGCCAGCTTGTGGAGTATGCTCCACCAGAACAATTGCTCCAAGACAAAAACTCTATCTTCTACAGCATGGCAAAGGATGCTGGACTCGTCAATTAGGGGGAATCTCCCAACAATAAGGCCTGTCACAAAATTCAATTTACCAGTCTGCAAAATTTACGTGTTCAATATACACTTAGGTATGCCTGTACAGTTGCCTGTAATGCGTAAGTTATCACATCAATTGTAAAAGTATTATTTTTTTATATATCTCGACATGTACAATGGTACAAAACTGTGCATCTATTAATTATTATTGTCTTACGTAGTTACCACAAAGGCCGCCCCTATACTTAATTATTAAGATACAGTTTTTATCGTTTTGAAACAATCGCTATTTTAATTATCGTGTTAAATATAAATTTATGTAACGTTACAAAAATAATTACAATTAAGTACTTGATGGAGATTGATCATAATTCTCGAATTTGCTAAACATGTGATATAATGAGTGTGTACTTATAAAAAATACTTACATGAAGCGTGTAGCTTTAAAATTGCCTTGTGATCCAATGGTAAAACTTTTTGTCATATTAAACTTATAAAATGTCATTTTTATAAGTTTAATATTAGCATTCATGGTTATGTTTGCAGTGGTTGCGCATGAAGTTTATTTCTCGTAACAGGTAGTACTTAAATATTAATTACATGTGCAATTTGTTTTAAAAATATATATTGTATATTTCAGTATATTCCAGTGAAATTAATTTGGTATAATGATTTACATCTTACAACCCATATTAACGGTATATAATAAAAATTGACTAGAACTCAACATTATATATGTACACCCAGTATCTTAATTTTAGCAATCTATTATAATTATTTTTATTACATAATTGTTATTTTTAGTTTTATGACTTGTTAAATCTTCACTATCCTTTAGTGTAATAATTGTAATAAATGTTAATTTTAATAACAGTTAGTTTATTTCAAATATATCATGTTCACAAATAAGTTCTTTCACAAAATGTTTAATATATTCAATATTTTTAACTTTTATAAACACTGCTCACTATCAGAAATAATGGATTATTTACTAGCATTCCAACCCAGCACTAGCACATGTATGTGGAGAGAAGACTCAACCTTATAGAAATGAGATTCCAAATTTCCTTTTGGATTTTTGTCATTTTAAGCTTTTGTTAATATGTTTGTACTACAGGTGTGGTTTATTAGATAGTTAATAAATTGTTTTGTGTTTTTATTAATTAAACTGTACTAAAAGCAAAGATAATTTTGAACAAAATAAATAGAATGTAATCGGGACTTATTTTAAATGTCATTGTAAAAGCAAATAAATGAATATGTTAAACTAAGAATTGTTACAACAGTTTCTAGGATATGTTCCATGTAGGAATTATATTATTCTGTTACAAAAATATGTAATATTGTAATTTTATTTTTGTCAGTGACAAACATTGTAAGTAAATATTTAGTACAAGTCATATGAACACACAGGTTTATTATATTGTCACATACAAAAATACTAATTACATACCCTAACAAGCTTAAATATTATTTTTGTTTCAAGGAACAGACTTAACAACTTTAATTATCTTTGTTTGTACGACAATACATCACATATAAAGATAATTAAATGATAGGATTGTTTAGTAATTTATATAGCTTGTGTGTTTTCATAATTGAATCATTTAAATTTTTTTATAAAAATGTATCAACATGTATACAATATAGGTACATTGCATAAATTTATTTAATGTTTCCTTAAGTTTGCATCACTTTACTTAGTGTCAATTTCTAAAAGCATTTATTACTTTGCAACAAGGTCTTTTCAAATACCTACTTAATATATATATCTCTTCATAAAGTACCCATGTAAATCTTGCCTATTTGAATTGAGTGTTTATATAACCTTTGGAATAAACCGTGTAAGTTTTATCATGTGTTAACTGAGCCATACAACTTAATATACAAGGCCATAAAACTTATAATATTTTCAAGTATTTTTGGTAGCTACTTCTAAAAATAAACTTGCAACATGTGTATTATAAGTTGTGAGATAGAGCTCAACATTTTTTTACAATTTTGCATTTATTACAATATAGATGTCGAAATCACATGTCTCAATTTTTATACAAAGCGACATGCTATATTGATCATTATTTTGTTAATGTTACAAATCACAATACAATACAGGAATAAAGATATTTGTACTCATGTTGTGTTTTTTCCTCTCTAAGGGCGCAAAAACGGATGATTTGTTGAATGTTGATTATCATTCACAAAGATCAATCAAGAATAGCGGCGCACTTAGGACGCAGGGCCGGATTTAGGTGAGGGCAACCGGGGCAACTGCCCCGGGCCCTCCAGAAACGAGGGATCCCCACAATAGAGACTTCGGAAAAAAATATTGAAATTCAGACTCGAAAATAAACAATAGTAAAAAACTTTTCCTTTCATATTTTTTCGCGTTTTACTTTTACCTACAGTCTATGTTTGTACATGATTACATTAAATAACAACACAAACACATTTCGAATGGTATGGTTCGTGGATAATGCAATAAGAAAGAATAGGGCGGCAAGTGTGTTACATTGGCATAAGTGTAAGAAATCTAAAGGTGACTCAAACAGGCTGAAATCATGATGATGAAGTAGTGTCATCGTGAGAGATCTGATTTATACAAAATCAAATGGTAATCGCTTATGGAAGTTAAAGGAATTGCAACATTTCAAACGTAATGATTGGTACGTCATTAGATTTTCTAAATAAAAAAACGGATGCGTGTACTTATGTACGTGCTTGAGAAGTTATACTTCTTTGGCATCATTAAACAATAGTTTTTTTTATTTGAAAAGTTGGCAAACGAGCAGGTGGTTCATCTGATGTTAAGTGAATACCACCGCTCATGGACATCTGCTACACTCGATGGTTTGCAGATGCGTTGACAACCTTTTAAAAATTGGGCTCCAGCCACCTCATTCACCTGACGAAACGCGAAAGTGCTATACTTCCACTTTACGTCGGTCTTGTGTGAGGTGGTGGTTACTTACCCGGATGAGCCTGTCCATTTGTACAACTGCCGAGGCTGCTGCGTGGCCTCACCGTTAGTTTTTAATTGAATGCAAATGATTAATTACAATAAAATAATTAGGTATATAAATAATAAAATTATGAAAGCGCCGCCTACATTCTTTATTGAGAAATGTAACGGACGAATGCTGCGAATGTGATTGATATTAAGGCGCTGTATGCAGTAAAAATAGGTTTTTAAAAAGATTTTTTAGCAAAATCTACACATTTTATAGCAGCAAAAAAAATATGTTAATCTTGATCGTACACTCTAAGGGAACATTGTTTCCAAAACATGTTCTCGATAGAAAAAAATCATGAAACTACCTCTAAAAGAGAAATTCAAATCCAAAAATGAACGTAATACATCAACAAATCTTAATGAAATTAATATCAGTGGTGTAGAATATATTAATAAAAAGGATTGTTGTTTTAATTTTTTGATTGATGTAAGATATTTGTAAATATTAATTTAATTCATTAAAATTAATTTGAACGCGATGGCCAAAACACCGCGCTACCGCGGGTTGTTTCGGTTCTCTCGTTCAACTCCACACGTTGAACAGAGAGCGCTGAGGCGCCTTGCTAGATGGATCTATACCGCTCATCGCCCGCTCGCCGTTACGAAATATGTTTCGTATTTATTTATTATTGATAGTTTTAATATTATTAGATCTTCCAAAACACGAAACTAAAAAATGTATATTCACATATTTCGTATTTATAAATTATTTGTATGTATTAACAGTTGTTAATTAATCGTGATTGGTTTATCAGTCCTATACATACAGTGTATAGGACCATCATTCTTTATGGATTGGGTTCAAATCCCTAAATTTTTTGTTGTATTTTTTGTTGATTTTCTTATTTGGGAATATATCTTAATTACCATTTAATTTTCGTTGTTTTTTTTATTTTCATAAATAATTACAACGAAATATTATTGAATTTATTCAAAGTTGAAACAGTTGGAGAACAATCTATCAGTAAATAAACCAACTTTTAGTATTAAAAATTTTTAATGTCATCTATTTTAACATTAAATGTCATCTATTTTTTTATTAAAATATTTAATTTTTCACCCTAAAACGAAAATTTATCTTATACACCAAAAATAATTGTTTTATAATTTTTCTTCTTAATTTGTTTATTTCCCAAATGTAGCTATTTTATAAAGTAAAAACAAAATAATTTGTTGGCTAAGAAATTAAAAGTGAAAACAATATAAAAAGTACAACTCCACTCGATGAGGGTTTGAACTTGAGACTACACCTACAGCAAAAGTTTACCGTTGTGCGCTCGGACAACTCGGAAAGTGACAAAATTTCGATTCTTTTTTCTTTCGATAATTGCTGTCGTTTATCGATACAAATAAAGATTTTATCGATAGTTTTTTAAATTTCATTTTAGTTGAGAAAGTACTCTAACTAAATCTTGAACATTATAGGATAAAAATAATAAATGTATAAAAAAAATGTAATAAAAAAAGTTGTATTCGTAATTTCTGCAAAAATTTTATGAGCCATTTCTTTAAAATAACAATATAAACCATGAAAACAAAAAATTATTATTATAAGTAATTTGCCTTTATTAATTTATTTGACTTTAAATCTATGGCGCCGCTAAGCGACGTTACCCCTCCTCCGCTTCCTCATACTTCACCACCCAAATAGTTAAAAATTCACTGCATACAGCGCCTTAAGCTACCGTCTATAAAAAATAAGCGGTTTAGCGGGCAGCTTATTTGTGTGATTTTTGTCCTAGATGCGCGCGCATCTTAAAACTTCACACTCATAATTTTTTCATAACGCGCCTACAGTTTGTTAAACATGCGTAAGGATCTCTAGTTCATCTATGGATGAGCGGTGAGCCTCCTGAGGACTTCTGCTCGTTCTTTTTTTTTGGCCTTAAGGGCCTTTACAGTTCCGACGGGCTTGAGGTGGCCTGGCGCACGAGGCGCCTAGCCTGAACCTCGGCGTATTATTATTACGCGTTATGGTGACTAAGCTCGAGGGCTCCCGAGGGAGCCTCGGCTCGGGCCGTCACGCTATTATTATTACCGGTTTGGGAGGCCGCCAAGCTCTTAGGGCGCTTTGGCGGGCGCTCCATGGAGTGATCAGGCTCAAGGGTCCCCGAGAGGGGACCTCGGCTTGAGCTGTCACTCAACACGCGTTTAGCATTCCGATTCGAGGGTGCCCGAGAGGGCCGGACCTCGGCTCGATCGGTAGCTATTATCTGACTGGGGCCTGCTGGTTTGCTCGTTTTCTCCTTATAAACATTCTCTAAGTGTTCAAGCCAGTGTGACCATTCTTACAAAATATAAACGAAGGAATTTGCTATTCAATAGAACTCAGTGATGTATAGAAAAACAAACGCTATTGCCGGAGGCCGAACGACTACTGCCAGTGCCATAACGAAAAATCGAATAATTAAAAAAGTAAATGTCAAAAAAAAAATTGTTTTTTGTTTGATAAAATTTCAGATATCTAACTATAGTACTCTTTGGAAAATGGCGATATATGGATTATGGAATGGCCATGGCCGATAACAGATAATCAGAGGAATCACAAGACTTTAAGTTAATTTTATTTTTTAACAGATTTTTTATATGATTACCATGAACAATGAGACAATTACCTATCAGGAATAGATGAGAGCTGAGGCATGTCCATACTGAGCGGCCGGTGGCGTATAAAAATTGTTCCGCTTTACAGTTTACAATATATATGTATATATATATGACATATGTAAGCATAGATGATACAAATATACTGAAATATACATATATGTAAGTGAATGTGACAAATGATATAGAACTTTAGGTACGGGAAGAGATAGCAGTCTCTAGAACTAGAAATCTAGTTACTCTAATTGGTGTAATTTGAGTGCCTCAATTTTGGTGCGTTAGTGTCACTCGTATCTAACTTGTATTTGAAATTTTTATATAATATCTTTGGGAATTACCTACTTATTTTTGGAGCCACAATCTGAATAATGGATAAGCTTTTTAAAATATCGCCTTTTGAAGATTTTAAAAGCGTATGTATGTTATGATATTATCGACATTGCTATGATTTCATTGTTAACTTTTAAGAATAAAATAAATATTTTTATGTTTTAGGCTGTGGATGGTGTTATACACAATTTATATAACATGGAAAATCAGTGTAATTATATATCTGAAGATGATCTAAAACTAGCAAAAGAAGAGTTAAAGAAGTTAATATTAGAAAAAAACTGTGAATTTGCCGCTTTAACTCCCTTTTTGGAATCCAAGCAGTATAGTCAAAATAAAGTATCCTATTTCATATCTAAACTTACAGAAAGAAAAAGTGAACTACTTTATGCAACACTTATTAATTTTCACAGTGCATATGGTGAAACAGTACAAGATTTTGACTGGTTTATTAAATTAATTATGGGAACAAGTGAATTAAAAACTCTAGAATATCCTCTCCTACAACTGATGTTATTAACAGTCACAAAATCTGGAAGTAAAGATAAAAAGATATATGATATTAGCAAAGATATGTTAGATAAGATAATAACAGTTTTGGAAGAAGCTTTTAATACTTAGTGTTATTATAATCCGATATTTAGAATTATTTTATTTACGGCCTGTTTCAACATTCAATCTACACTACTAATTTGGTTACTGGATATTTGATACCTATTGCTAGTAACCTCATCTATCTGTAGATTGAATATTGAAACTGGCTGTTAAACTACAATAATTGCTTGAATTATGCAATAAAAATTGTGCTAACTTTATACTCAGAAAAGTTAGTTTTTATCTATAGAACACATTTCTCAATAGAAAATTATTTAAAATTTGTTTTTTTATTTAGAATTACAATTATAAATTCACTAAACCGGTGTATTAAATCAATTATAGAGGTATAGATATGAGAGCAAGACAAAAAAATAGGCGTTATTTTTTTTAATCAAGTTATTGGTATGCATACTAGCTCAATTTCTTTTAAAACTAAATCACAGCTAATCCTCAGGTGGGATAGTTGTTAAGAATTTGAGTTTGTTTGAATAATATATTCGAATAAAAGGAATCAAAATAGACATGTCATTATGTTACTAAAATTAAAGAATAGGAACCCTACTCGCAAATAACTTAACCTTTGGCATAACCTACTCATTCTCTCTGTGTCTCTATTCTTGCAATTTGTTATTATTGATAGACAATCTGTATTGAAATAAATGTTGCTTCAATGTCTTCTTTCTGATGTGATTTGAACCTGCTATTTTTTCAGAAATGCTATAAAATTTTATATTGTTTTACTTTTTTGTTTTAAGTAATTATATTTCTTACTGATTTGGGCTCACTGATCTTTTGAAATTCCAGGTTTCGAATATTCATTATAACAGGTTTGCTTCCTGTGTGAAATCAGTTATACCAGATGTTTAGGAAATAATTTATCCCTGATAATCTTTGTCTTCACTGAACCTATCAGACCAGCAATGGAGATGAGAAATATACCTGGTAGTGATGGGTCTTTGCGCCTTAGCCACATAAACTGGCAGAAATCTCCAACATTCAAGATTGAAACTCCGCTCAATTTGCATGTTCTAGAGCGAATAAGAACACAAGCGATGATGAAAGATATTTTAAAATTGAATCCAAAAGTTGCACGTGCACACATGTATGGTGCTTTGTGCCGGTGACGCAATAGTATTTAATCTAAATAGTAGAAAAGTGGGCAAGCGAGCAAGTGGTTCATCTGATGTTAAGTGTCTACCGCCACCCATGGACTTCTACGATAAGATCTGGTCAGTTGCTGATGCGTTTCCATCCTATTTTAAAGTGGGCCCCAGTTAACTCGTTCATAAGAAACTTGCAAGTTTTTTAAGTTTTTTCCGTGAGACCGAACGGAAATACTTCATTTAACTTTAAAGACATCTTTTATATTTGTTCGCCTCGCCTACGATCAAGGTGAAACTAACACACGTTGCGTTTACAAAGTTTATTCGTGTTCCATCCAGGGTGCTTCTCAGTTTTTACCATCCCAAAAAATCAAGCTAGTGGCTAGCCGTTGGAGCTCCAGTCTAAACCACGCACCAATGATATTCGTGACTGGAAAAAGTCTATGAAACTTTAGCCTTTCTCGATGAAGCTTTACGTTTTACTAATACTGGGAGCGAAGAACGGAAACGTCGAACAATAAAGACTAGACGCCTTATTTACTCGCAGATGGACATAATAAACTTTGCTTACAGCATGCTAGAGAAACTATTTTTGCCACTTTTATCCTAATATACGAGGACATGCCGTGTTTTATTTTTTACTAGCGGAATCTACCTAAATTAAGACATTTTTATTTTTACGTTGCCACAAAGCTTTTGATAATTGAAAATGATAAAAATTATTGAAACAAATGTTAAAAGCAATTGTATGTGGACGAAATTGTGGATATAAACGAATTAAATCGTATATTTAATTTAAAAAAAGGTAAGAAAATAGAGGAGGTATGCACATTTCTTACAATAACAGTGGTTCAATAGTGAAATGCAACAAAGAAAATTGGGTAACAAAAAAAACGATAATTGCTTTTAAAATTTATTTATTAGAGACATTCACACATCACATTGAAGTTTGAGAAAGTGTATCATAAATCTTAATATATGTATAATTTGAATTCTGGAATAAAATAATTAAATTAATTACAGGTTGCAAGAACAAAACAGTGTTTGAATATGAATTTTCTGTTTGATGTCATCTTTTTCTGTTGTATATTTATTCCATTCTATATCACTTTTAATTTTGTATTAGTTGAATTGAATATATAAATGAAAACAAATATACAAGATCTTACATGATAAGGATACATTAATTTGACATATCATAATTTCATTAACTCATGAATATTTTCTTCCATTAAATAATTATGGAGTAAAATTGAATGAATATAAACGACACATGTCACGACTGTGCCGCAATTTTTAAGAATTATTGGAAATATTCTACAATAACGAAAGGATTTAGATTTTTACGCCAGTCCCGTTTAAAGTATTTGTTCCATACAAAAGGCGTAATTATGCAGTTTCAATATAACTAAACACGAATATAATGTTAAATATATTAATATAAAGTAATGAATAATACACGAAAAATAGTAATTAGAAAGGTGGGATAATGGAACAAGAAATTTTAGTCTTTGATATGGAATGTCTCACTCACATTTACTGCTAATATAATATGGGACAATGTCTCCCGATAATGCAGGTGTCACTTTTAAATTTCATTAAAAAATTGTATAAAATTACAAAAATGATTATGAAACCATACCATACATGTAATCATTGGACGCAGAGTATAGAAAAATGACAAAATTGTATAATAATATCAAATCTTACGTACGTATCTAATCGTATGTATGAGGTGGAACTCAATAAACTAATAGCAGCCGTAACACGCTACGTCTCTAACTCGATACAAATTCTACAAGTCTAAATATTATCATATAATTAATTGTATGTATGTATATGCATAAAAATTGTATAGGATAATCAAAAAAGTTGGCCACTGACTGTTAAGTCCATATTTTCCAGATTACTCCTATGAATTATAAACAAACCTAGTAATATCGTAATACGTTAGATTAATTCAAATAGTTGCCTAATTATAATTTCGATTAAGATGTAGGAGCGAAATTCTAATAGTTCAATAAAATTTCATATTTGAATTAAAGAGAGCACGAACTAAATTTATACAACTTTCAACATACCAAGGATGTTACTGAAGCCCAATTGCGTGATCAGGTCACAGTGAATAAATGTAATAGAAAGTCCCTCACTCTCAACAATATACAATGTAAATTTAAACTTCAATTTGACACAGAACAGAAAAAATTTAGAGTCCCGAGAAATAATTCATATATACATAATAATAATAATGTCTCAAGTCCTAATGCTTACTATAATTATAATATTCGAGTGGTATTTTAAATTACTCCGATATGAAGATCTCTGCATAAATGAGAACGGCTTTTTGGGAAAAGCGGTTACATTGGTGGCGCAGTGCGCAGCGCATGTGACGCGCAAAAAATATACAACACGTTGCCTTCATTTACACCCAACAAGAGTCTTGGCCCTATCAAGTTTTACTATTCATGGGGGATTGGTAGGAGGTCAATCCTTTCTATCATACGATATGGAAATTCTACAATTGTACCGATAATGTTTTCGTAGTTGAAGACAGCTAAAAATGTCTTTAAGCAATAAGTAGGATGTAATGCAAGCCTTTTAGGAGAGTCACAGACCACGGCATAACTAATACCCCTGTAACAATGGCACCAACTAATCAATCGCACCGTATACTGCCTACATAACTTTGTTATTGTAATATAATATGAAAAACTCCATCCTAGCGAATTAAAAATGTATAAAATCTTAAGCAAAGCACTCTAAACTTAAACTACAATCGTTCTATATGAGAAAGGTCACATTTGAAACCGAAATCCGCTTCTCCGATATTGACTCGTCGAACTAGGTTCGATATCACACCACAGCTAATGGAGAAAAATAAATTAAAGGCATTTTTGACGCGCGTATATGGTGTGGTAGTGTGACAGTCGACTTGACGCACTCGATTAGTTGGCCACTGCAACGTCATTTGCTGTCTCCTGTAAACAAAGAACATTGTTATTATAACAAACCACCAAGAACAAAAACAAATAAAATTATTCGTATAGATATAAAAGCAAAGAGGTTCATACCATATCAGTTTTCAATTCTGGCACAACTGGAACCTCGGGAATCAAATCAGCAATTTTATCGGCTACGGGCAATACGTCCTGAAAAAATGGCATAATTGAACAAGTTCTTAGCAGGTCAATAAATACGACTGGACCAATTTTTTTTCTGAAAACATACACTTTACAGAGTTCAATATAGCTCTTAAGGAAGCGTTATGATTTTATTTTAAATACATGAGAGATACATTGAAAGAATGTACAGAAGTAAACTATTGTACCGCAACATTAAAAAAGCCATAAATAAAAAGATGTTAGCGAAAGGCGGTGGTAAGCATGCTGGAACGAACAAAGCAAGGGGAGGGTTCCGTGGAGAAGAGGAGTAAGGAGGAGCAGTCAACTGTACATTCGTGTAAGACTGAGGTGTGTCGAGGTGGTGGCGCTCCGAGTCTTCCGGTACGGTGGACATGCTGGTTTTAAGATGCACACGAGCTAACACAGTCAGAACTCATAACGGTACTAATCCTCTACAGAGCTATGGCCGGGCGTATTCACCTGTGGGGCGACGGCCAGCGGGGGCGTTTCGGGGCGCGAACCCCCCACGGAGCGGCACAGCTCGCTGGGGGGCAACGGGAATGATTCCGACGCGTCATTGCTCACTTGGTCGCCTTGCGACCCCATCGCCTCGGAGAGCGATGGGGGCGTAGAGTCGTCGGGGGTCGTCGCCTCCACCGCAATGGCGTCTCCGACGATATCCACCGGTAGCGGCACCTCTTCGGTTCCACTCGCTTCCTCTTCCATTTTACCGTTGCACTCGTTCTGTGCTTCGTGTTCGTCCGATATTTTGGCGTGTTTCATCGATTCCTCGATTTCGTTCAGTTCGCCGTTGATGGTTATGTCGCCGGTTGCCGGTTCCTTCTTGTCGGTTGTTGTCGTTTCTTTGTCACCGGCTGCGAAGGTATCGTCATCGTATTTCTTCGGCTCGGCATCGATAACTTTTGGCGATGGTAATTCCGGTGTCGGTTGGGATTCGTTAATCACTATTTCAGGAATTCCTAAGTTATCGGCAGCAGTTACAACCAGCGGTGGTTCAGGTGCGGTAGTTTCCTCTTTATTTGTATTGGAAACAACATCAGCCTCGTCAACACTTCCGTTTACTTCTTTATCTGTAGCGCTAGTAGGAATGTCTACGGGTTCTTGTATTGGGTCGGTGGGTAAAGCTGGAGCGGTGATTTCCTCGACAGTTTCCTTAATTTTAGAAGGTATGTCAGTAATGGCATTAACAGTGTCATTTTCAATGTGATTCGTTTCAGTGGGATCTTTGTCAACTATATCTGTATTAGTGTCTATGGTAGCAATTGGTGCTGCGGTGGAGGTAATATCTGCAGTAGTAGCGAGTGAAGCGTCTGTCAATTCAGGTGCCATTGTGGTAGCGGCAAAAGATACCACAGACGAAGGAGGAGGATTAGCAGGGAGTGGAGGAGGCGAGGGCTCTATCATAGGCATTTGTTCAACACAAACCTCTTTTGTAACAGGAATTTCTGGGGCCGGAACCGATACCGATGTTTCTGTAGAAGTCTTTTCAATGGTACTTTCCTCGCATTTTACTACTTCAGGAGCCTCAACTTTGGGTTCCTCTAGGGAGAGTCCATTGACAGGCAACTGCTCAGGTTCAGGCAACGCGGCCTTTGGTTCAGGCCTGTTATGTTCCTTTGGAGATTCTGGGAGAGGTTCATCAGTGGTGGGGGAGGGTTCTGTTTTTGGGGATTCGGGTGTGTTGCTTCCGTTGGTAATCGGTTCAGTGACCGGGGTTTCTGGAGTTTTATCATCCTTAGTTTCTGTGTCAGATTTCGCTTCTTCTGCCACTTCGTTTATTGCATTCTCGGGGGTTGATTCGGCTACCTGTAAGGAATAAGAAAACTTTAATCTCAAATACAATAATGAAACATTGCTAATTTTGAGAGATTTTAACATCATTACATTATACAAAAGCCCTCATTTTATCAACCGCAAAAATGCGCGAATCACACTTTACCGACTTGTGTTAACTCACTAGCATAGTAAACAATAATAGAGCCGCTATTACTGTCGTATACACATAAGTAATTGTTAAAGGACACAAGATTAACCTTCTACTTCAGTTTGTAAATTACCGTCCCAGTCATTAAACTACCAATACTTCTGATACCTGAATGTCAGCCATTACGTAAAGTATTAATTATATTAGTAATTCCAAAAATTATTCCACAGAGAGACTGAAGAGATATGTAGACACTCTTAATGATTTATAGTGGTTTTAATGTAACGTATAGACTCTCATTTTTAGTTTATTATTTACTCTTCGATGCTTATGAACAACTACGTATAATATTACGTTACTTAGGGTTGTGCATATTTAAATAGTGCAGTGAAATCTAACAATAAATACATATTAAATAGAAAAAATATTATTCACCAATCTAGGTATTCAACAATTATCGTTTCCAAATTCGTTTTAAAAGCTGATCAGTTAATAATACTTGTAGTGAAAAATAAATTACATATGTAAGCGCACACATGGACAATTATAACATTGTATAAATGAATATTTTTGTAATATGTATTTATACGATAACATTTAAGTAACTTAAACAAGATAAAATCAAGAAAATTCGTCGCGTACTTGTCGAATAAATGTATTCGTCGACATAAATATTGCAAATTATTATGTTGTGAGCCAATTAAAAACACCTTGGCAATTCAAAACGAAAAAGACTATTCTTCAGTAGTATAGAGGCAAACTGCAAAATGAACCAAAAAAAATGTTGTAGTCGCTTATTACGTTAAAAAGCAAGCGTTGAAATATTTTCAAGACATGTGCAAGCGATGCTACTGCAGCCCCGCAGGCAACAATAAAACGATACCAATATTCAAGGTCGTCTTTGTTTACCGATGTAAGCAGATACTTCTTATACAAATGCTCGATTTATCGGGTAATCGTGTACCGACAACCGTTGACTAATGTCACGGGAGCTGTGCCAGAAAATTCCTTGTTACAGTAAACTACATATTAATGCAAATTCAAGCCAAAATCATCACTACTCATGTTTGATTCATCATTATATTTGTTACATGTCTCGAAATAGACGCAGTTTTATCTATTTACAATTAGCGAATGTATTGACTAAAGAACGTCGCGATAATAATTATTAAAGTTTTCCGTAATGTTATAATAACAAACCGGTAAGTAACAATTTCAATCGTGGCTAATTTTAGAATTAATTTGCAGAACATAAATAGCGACAAATTTATCACAATAACGAAAAGCAATTGCTCATATCCGATATTGTAAGGCGTTGGTGTCAGAAAATATTAAATCGCTTGTGAGTACAATATTATATTATTAAATTCATGTTGCTAACAGTGAAATCATGCCAGAATGGAATGAAGTATTTTTTTTTCACTATTATTAATCAATTATAGTGCAATGTTTATTACAAGCCTAGGTCTTTGATAAACAATAATATTCGATATGTGATTTAGAATTTAGATAATGAATTATTTTTATGTATCTTAGCAGTTAGACACTTGAGCCGTGATAGCTCAGTGTCCGGGCGCTCGCCTTTAATTCAATATATTCGAGCAACTTGAGTTCGATCCCCAGTGCCGGCACCAATGAAGTTTTTAACTTTAAGTGCTGACTTATCACGTGCTCCGCGGTGAAGGAAAACATCGTGAGGAAACCTGCATATTTTCGAAATAATAACAAAAAAATATATATTTCGAAGATATGTGAAGTCCGCCAATACACAGTGGGGCCGCGTGGTGGACTATGTCCTGATACCCTGTTTATAGGGGAGGCCTTTGCCCAGTAGTGGGACATGTATAGGCTGCTACTAGCAGTTAGACATGTCTTACAGTTCTATAGGATGAAACAAATGCGTGATTCATCCTACATGAATCCTCATTAAGACGACAAAAAATATTACATTAGAATGTACATTACGAAGATATAAATAAATACGAACGCATTACCGGCTGTATTTAAGATAGCTGTGTAAATAAATTAATTGTATTTACATTGTTCGTTATCTTTGTGTTTACAGAAGTGGTGTTTGCTTACGCGGCTTAATTGGCGTTCAAACATGGCGAGCGCCTAGAAATTATTACATGCAGTGTAGTACGGCATTAGTTGCAATTAGTGCACAGCTGATGGGTCCACGACTTGGGGTCGTGGATTCGAAACCAAATGTCGATTCTACGTGTTAAAACATTTGAGTATTTATGTTCCCAATAATGGGAATTTGCTAACACGTAAAATACGTAAAAGCTTTTGTAAAATATAACAATACGCTATTATGAATTCGTTAAGTGGTTATTTGATTTATACAAATGTATTATTTAATTATATGTAATAAAATCGAAATATTGTGGTGTACTTTATTGCAGGTAATTATTGTAACTAAGCTATTCGGGAATGACAAGACAAATCCGCAAAAATCCGCCAAATAAGCCGGAGTCAGCACTGTGCATCGGTTGTTGCATCCGAACCAAAGCTGAAGTCAGTAACGATACCACAGTGTGACCATCGTCTCGTCGGGTGAGTCACCGACGTCCGCACAATGCGAACTATGAAAACGATTTTCCGCTACGCAACACCCGCAATACCACAGTGTCGATGTTTCACTCTACAATTATGTCCACTGGCAAGCGGAAATTGTCAAAGAACAATAAAGTGCGCCGGTTTTGTCCCCGTCACCCATGAGCACGCACCCGATAAGCTCGAAGCGGTAAACGAGGTCTGAATCAATACATACACCGTGTACATATAAGTAACTATGTATATTTTCCCACTGCTGGGCAAAGGCTGCCTTAATGCCCTCTGTATCAGTGAACAGTCTATCACGCGATCTCACTGCGTATTGGCGGACTTCACTTATTTTCGAAATGTTGTTTTTTGTTTTTTTTTTTCTAATATTAGACGCTTCCTCGCGACGTTTTCCCTCACCGTTGAGCACGCAATAAGTCAGCACTTAAAATTATAAATATATAAATAAAAACCGATGGGCTATGTTTCGTCATCAAGACGTGTTCGCGTCGAATTTTCGGAATATCAATGATTGTTTTTGCGACTCATTAATAGGCTCCATTCATTTCATTATGAAGTCAATTCGGCGTTATTCGCTCGTGACTCACTCACATGTGACGCACCACTCTTAGTAATGGATTCATGGGTAAAGCAAATCGTAATGATACCAAGCTGAGTACTTCAAAACAAATTGCCAGGCAGGTAATAGAAAATTGTGTTGCCGGCTCTCATTACCGTTAAATATTTCTTATCACCATATTGGATGAATATAACAGGTTTTTTGCAATGACAAATATTTTTTATACTTAATTGTCTTGATAGTCATGCTTAGAAATGAGTTATATAAACAAAGCTGAAGACATTACGCCATTCAACAAACCAAATATTATTATTTTAAAAAATGTGTTATTTATCGGACGTACTCAATTTTAAAGGATTAATATTAGTAGGTCTTTTTTATCATGTTAAAAAAAAACAAAACAAAATTAGTAATCATTTTAAGTTTACGCATCGGAAAGCGCGAATTGCCCGCGCCCAATTATGCATAACCTGTATTAAGTTGTCAGGAGTTACGAAAAAAAATTGCGTTTTTCTTTTCAACTGCATTCTATGCATTCGGCCTTCTTAAAAATTAAAAATTCTTTATACTCGTGCTAAAGTATCTGATGGTTTCCCATAGTCTCTCGATGGAATATGTTAAACAAGCCAGGCAAAACCAGTTAATGGCGGTTGTTTCCGGAGGCGGTGTGTCTTACTGGACAGAGCTATGGTATATCGACTGGTTTATCGGAAGGATAATATTATGTTGGTTCTTGTGATGGGTCGATTCTAGTATTTCGGCTAAACATTGTGTTTCATTGTTTTGCTTCTCCCTTTACTAGCACCGCATGATTTAAGCCAACTACGAAATCTTGCATCGTAACAACAAATATAAAAGTAGATACTTGTTCATTTGTTCCCTTTTAGACTCAAGGAGGTATATAAAATTTTAATCCATGTTTGGATAGAATTAATAATATGACGTTTATACGCTCTACTATACATATAGTGGTATAAACTCAAAAACCAACTATCATACTTCGAACATTGGCCACGCGGGTAGTTGCGTGTGGAGGGTGCTTAGTATGTGCATTCCGTGTCGAATTTTGATGCGTGGTGATTTATTCGAGTGGACGATTACGGAAGCCGAGGGAAGTGGTTCGATTTCGTCCGTTCGTTTCGCAGGCGAAATGTGACGCAGGCATTGATACGGGCGCGACACTCGCTATTTGCATAGATAATGCCGCCGAAGTGGATACACGCGGCCGCTAGTGTCGCGTCTCTATTGACGACTGCGCACTGGCCGCTTGCCTCCATCCGCTGATACGAGTTGAACGCCCTTTCTTGGCACCGTTCGCCCGCTTAGTTATGATAGATATAGAATTACCTTCACTCCGCGATAGCCGACTCAATAACGGCCCGATAAATGAGTACATATTATCACGTCTGCAAAGCCTTACGGGCTGAGCACAGACGGTCCCCGGAGCTTCGGGCACACAAACACTTCCGCTCCGCCGCGCGCGTACAGAATTTTGAAACGGTTCTAATATTTTAATGTGGCTTTAGAACTCACTAAAGGCTGCATTAACTAACGATTTTATTGGTTGCATACCTAATGCTTAATTAGCAATATAATATTTAAATTTTATTACAAATATAAATATACAACAGACACAATACTAAATTTTAACTGTATTTAAGTTTTCGTTTTACAGAACATTTGGCGCTTTGTCTGCAGAAAGAGCAATATTTTCAAATGGCGTTAATGATATCGAGTCGGTTGGTATACATACAT